CTTCATGTGCCTTCACTGTGGCCGCAAAGGAGCTGGGATCAATCGCCAACACGAAAAGTGTTTTATTATCATACATATATGGGTTCGATACATGTCGGCCTGTCATTCTGTCCGCCAGGTCGGGACAAACTCACAACGACATGTTCACGTTATGTAAGTGACCCCTCCGAAACGGTTGACGCCTGTTGCTCGCTGTTGCGCTGAAGCCCGTTAAAAATGACAGATCCTCCTTTCCACGAGGCTCGCCAGTTTGCTGCTCGGCTGGCGGCCTGGCTCATGATTCCAATGCGAACGCTCCGTCGTCGGCTCATTGTGGGCTGTGTTGCGGCGCGGACAAGACGACCCACTCGCTCTTTCGCTCATCGTTCAGTCATTTGTTCGTGAGACGACACTTTGTTCGAACCTTGGGATTTCTCGAATCTATACTTTCGAAGATTGTGCCGTCCCGGTGAAAGTGTTGAAAGGAGCCGAACTCGCCGGTAGTGCAGCAATATCCTTGCCGGGGGTGCTGCCCAATGGTGCGCTCGGAATGACTACGTCTACCTGTATGATCATCGAAGCGATAAAAATCGACTACGTTGCCACGCAGAGTACGCTCCTGCCTACTCGATAGTCGAGATCTACCCTCACACTGTGACGGAAAGGCCAGAGGAGGTTGGGAACTTGAATTCCTCAATCAATTGGATACTTGACACTTTTGTGATAATGCCTTTCGCTGTGGTCGACAGCTTCGAGGAGAGTTTCGAGGAAGAATTCGTTGTGTTCGAGCAGAAACATCGACCGAAAATTCCGTGAGTATGATCCGTGAAAAGACGTAGGTGACGAAGACGCAATCGACGGGTGGTGTCTTGGCGCGAAGCTTCATTCGGATGAGGCTCCCGGGACAGTGGGATTTCATGACAAAAATTTCACATCCGACGATGAAAATTGCCTCGTATAAATCACCGAAGGGACGATTCGGACATCATGCAATTCTGCCCCAAAGGATCGATCCGAACGATTACAGACTACAGGTTATCGTCTGCCTCATTTTTCACGCACATTATTCGCAGTCTAGGCGAGACTCAAACGATTTTTTAGGAAATCGGGTCCATTTACCTCGACGGAAATTACTTGAACGAATCTCGAGCAAGTTCCCTGAAGGGGGCGCATGTTGGCCCTCCCGAACCAAGCTCCCGGCGTTCTGTGCCGAGGAACCCGAGGAATGACCTTGTAGAGGGAACATTAGGAATATCTGAGGAAGTTTCGCTGTTCGTCAAGTGGGTGGAGGCCCGAGGTGATCGATAGCAGATCTAGAGAAATCAGAGGAGGAGGTAGCACTGTGATCGGAAACGAGGAACTTCCGCCGCAGAGCGGCGAAAATACCCGCTCTTATCCGTGGAGCTGTTGTACAGCCGTAACGGCGCCGATAACGGGACTTTGTTTCTATTTTCGATATAATCTGATTGACTTCATGGGAGAATCGCCCTGGATTATAATAGTGATAATAGAACGATGAATGTTCGGAAGTTTTCGGACTTCCATGGCGAACTGCTTGCCGTGCTCGCTACGACATTTCCCTTCACCGCGCATTTCTCGCTTGTCAACTGCTTGTGATGAAATGCACTCGGAGACTTCGTCTTCGGTGGGGGTTCGATGTGAAGCGGAATTGCTAGAGCTTTCAGGGGATGAATCCTTAGCGCGTGGCCTCTTCAGTTGATCAAGCTGGGGGAAGCCGGGATATTGGCGATGAAAGATAATCGGGGAAAAATACTCACGGAGTCCGTAAGTACCGTCCGGAACTCCGCCCAGCCGACGTCGATTGCCGTGTTGGCAGGCTATGGGCAGCGAGCAGAACATTGAGAAAAATTCCGAAACGTTCTTCGTCGAGGCTGTTCACCTCGGAACGCACACGACTGAACGAGTTTGTGATTGTCGGAGCTGAAATATCTCGAGAAGCGGAGCTCCATTGTGACAGAAACTAGATGGGAGCCTCTGTTGGTGCTCCAACCGTTTGGAAAGTCTTTACGCGAGAGACGACGAGGAAGCACGGAAGCCAAATAAACGCATCAACTCCTGCCATGCGGGGCACAGAGCGATGGAACGATATCATCAGGAGCACAACAAGAAAACAACTGTATGGCAGCGCCTTTTTTTATGCGCGAGCGGAGTGTCAGGACAGAATTCACATTTTAGTTTTCTCATGTCGTTGAACGGGCCCATGGAGCTAGCGGCGGTGGTGGGATTGATTTTCTGCGGAAAACGACGCGGAAGATACGGCGACTCCGACTCGAGAAGGTCGTGAACACAAACCATAGAGTTCCGACTTCTCCCGCATGGAAAAACAGGCGCGTGCCAAGGGTCGCTTGTTTACTAAACTAACGAATTCATGCTACACAACATATTTCATTTTATTTTCGCGTTTGAAGAACCGAAATCTGACCCTTGGCGGTCTTTGACATGATCGCCTACCGGGTACGTATTTCCTAGTGTCCGCTGCGGGACGCGAACGCCATAACAACGAACGCAGTAAACAACAAAGACGTCCCAACCCAAATCATTTCCGAGTAAAAAGGTCGAGGAGGCTTCCTTCCGTCAACAGCCCCGAAGATCTGGGGAGCCTGGTATCCAGAGACCTCTTCCAGCCCAATACACCCAAGCATCGATGAATTCGGAGACTCCCACCGGACTAGGAATCACGCGGTGACACAGCCGGCAGGCTTCCCATTAAAATTTGATTCCATCAAAATTTCTCGGTCTTGAATGCGCTCTGGTTGAGGGATTCACGGGAAGGAGGAACACAATCCGCTTAATTCTCATTAAGAGGCAGATCGTTAGCTCCATGAGCTATTCGGGGGGATTCCTACAAATCGGTCTTAAGCGAGGTGGGAGGAGACCGAAATTATCTTTGATGAAATGAAAGAGATACAGAAGATTATTTAGACTGTTAGCGCGAGTTACCGACTTCTCGTTACGATAATCATTGTGATCACTGACGCATAAGACACGGCAGGAAGAAGCAATAAGCGATGCCGCTTCCCTCGGGAACATCCTTTCGTCTGCGCATTGCGTCTGTGTGATGTGATGTGGTAAATTAAAACGCCGAGCTTTTCGCTCATTCAAGGATTATCATAAGTCATAAGCTATCCGAAAGACCGTTGCGCAGAGCGATCGACCGGCGAACAGGGAGATAAGACACAACCCACATTCAGAAAATCCTTCGCTTCCACCGATCGCTTTCCCCGAATTCCACAAGAAGAAGAGATCCCCCACGTTCGGCTCGATGTTCCGCCGTGGTCGCTTCCATCCCGCTTTTGTGCTCGTTGCAGCGCTGTATTCGGTTTTGGTTCTCTTCCGCAACAGAAAGAGCGTTAGTTTTTCTCTGGAGAGCGAACGCCAAGGAATAGAAAGTAACAGTTGTTGCAATTGTTGGGAGAATAAACCACCGATTTTGACGAATCGACAAGCGGGAAAGCGCAGATTCGGACTCACAGCCAGGCCACCGGCCAGGCTACGACAACGTGATTCCGCGCAAATAAAAATCATTCTTTCTGTGAGCCTCGAGACAGTTCCAACGGGCGACCATATGGTTCGCATCGCAATGGAACGATTCCCTCCATGGTGGTTGGAGGGAGTTCCAAAAAAAGGGTCGATTGTCGACGGCTTCGGGTCCCTGAATCTATTCCGAATTTTTCCTGGAAGTAATCGCGCGTCAACTCGAGCATTATCTACCTCAGAAAATTGTCTTGCCACCGAAGGAATCGCCTTGCGCGTTGAGTGTACTCTAGCGAAATTCCCGGGTTCGCATTTATGACTCGACGAAAGACAAAAAAGGACGATCATTGTTGATTAGTCTACCAGAGCCACATCCTATTCCTTGGAGCGAAAATTATGATGTTTCGTGCGTCTGCTCGCCAAGCGAACCGTGGCAATGTCATCCGCTGACCTGAGAGCAGGTGTCCCACGATACGAAAGCGGTGATGAATCTGCTGGAGACGACAATTCGGATTGGACTTCGCTCACACGACGTGGAAGGCTTGAACCGCCTCCTCGAATCCCGAACAAAAGTCCTGCCATCGAGGGAATCAGCGCTCGCATAGCCGACGCTTGTGCTCCCGTGTGCGTGATCGCTTTTCATTAGGGACACGACTCAGAAACCTTCGAAGCGAAAGCTCTCCGTTTGAATTTCGTTCTGATCGTCTCTGTGACCTTAAAAGCGAATCATGGAGTCCTCATTCGTCACCCAGTGAATGGATCCGAGGCCACGACTCGGATTCCGTTTAATCGTCCACGATGAGCTCCCATGAGATCGCGTTCCTCGGTGAGATCGCTCCGCTTTCCACCTGTCATTCAGACGTACAGACCTGGGGAAAATAATTCGTGGCAGCCGTGGGTGGGAAGCTGACTTCTTGTACGGTTTCCGCTCAAGCCGAAATCAAACGTCTGGAGCCCCGAAATATCTTCTTCCTCCGTTCAACAAAGTATCAGAGAAACGGAATCTGAGACTAGCAGGGACGAGGATTGTCGTGGGCCCCCACACCACCCGCGTTGCATTTTCTGGGTTCTGTGAGGTTTCGAATCCTACGGTTTCTGTGGGTGTGACTACGAGGAAGATCTGCAAGGACGCCCCCAATTCAACGACGAAAGCCGATTCACCCAAGCATAAGGCTTCCCGGATGACGTGATTATTCGGACGGGACGCATCACATCCAGAGCGAGCGAACTCTTGCTACTCGAAAGCAGGGCGAATCTGATTTTGTTATCCCGCCGCCGCTGTCGCTTCCACGCCGATCCATAAATCATGAGTCTTCGGTGTCAAACCCTGTATCGATTGTTCCGCTTTCTCTTGTCGATAATGTTTCATGGCTCAGATAAGATAGGGGAAAAGGAAACCACGAATAGAGCAATGCGAAGGACAGTTGATGATCCACGAAGTGCCCACGGACAAAGCTTGTCGAAGAGATTTAAGCCCGATAGATACTGTGGTCGAAGAGAAATTTAAGAATTTTCTTCCTCTCCAGGGTATGGTGGACACTGACCGGAAACTATGGGAACATCATGCCCATCGATTGGTCCAAGAGTTACGCTCGCAAAATGCAGCTGGATGCCCTTAATATTAATGAACAGTGAGTGATACTCGAACCCCTTCGAATGAGCTTAGAAGATTCCATCAGCCCTCCCGCCTGGAGATGAATTCCAGATAGAGCCTATTTCAGCCTCAATTAATTTTTCAGCTACAACGACTGCCACACTCTGCGACACAGTGTGGACTCATCCGACGAAGAGGACTTGGATCGAGATCTGGACCTCCACTCCTTGATTCTTTCCAGTCTACAGTCGGAACCACCAAACGTGCAATCTGCTGATGAGGTTATTCAACAAATTGAGGATATTATGGCGGTGAGTGAGGAGGAGAGAGGAGGAAGCCTGGAATGCCCCTAAGCACGCGCGGGGAAACCGCATACCCGACGTCAGACTCGTTGAAAATCTGAAGCGCTACATAGCTGACGCCGAGTTTGTATCGGCAGCATGAGCGGAGCTTGACAGTTCCGCCTTGGATCAACATGGGAGTCATTTTGACAATCGTTCAGACATTCTGAAGTGTGATCCGATGCCGTTTCGGTGACGAAGTGTCAAAAGCTGTTATGATCCGATCCAAGGATACATCTTGTATCAGAGACGGTCCCTAGTTCGCCGTTCGGCGTTCTGTCGGGTCCTGGTTTCTCTGCCCGAGAGAGACTTTCCCCGTTTGCGTCTTAGGAGGGCATTGTCCATCGAAGATTCAATGGAGGGAATGTTCGGAGGGAAATGTTAATTTTTGGGTTCCTCTAATTCAGGAGAGCTGTTCGTCGGACGACGGGATTGCTTCCGGAGAAACGACTCCAGTAAACACTCCCGATCGCGGCGAGGTCCCCGTCGACAAAGATGATTCACTACGGGCACAAATCGCCGGTCTGATTCGATCCGACCACATCAAGTCTCTCAGCGTAGCCGAACTGGTCGAAGTTCACAGCGCTCTCGAAAGAGAAATCCAAACCCTATCCGAGACCTTGGTGGCGGAGCTGGCGCAGAGGGACGAGCTTGACTTCGAAAAAGTGAGCATCTTGAGCGAGAGAATGAAAATCGTTCTCGTCATACGGATGATCGACTTTCGACACCATAAATATTCAGTTGTCTATCGATGCAATCGTTGTCCAATCGCTGATCCTGATCATCCTCTGCAGGAAACGAAGAACACGTTCATCTCGCTGCTGCTGACCGTCCAAAACAAGAGACGGCAGTTCACCATCGACCGCAAAAGAGGACGAGGTCACACCATCGTCAACGGAGAACCAAAAGTGAGCGAAAACAAAGTCACAGTCCTCTTTCAGATTGAATGTTAAACCGTTCGAAACAAGTTCCAAGGACGTTTCACTCTGTCTCGAGTCTGTCTGGTTCCGGGGACAATGCGGGACCATTTGGGAGATTTGTTGACAAGCTCGAAGGAACAGGAGTCCGAAACAAGGTCTCATAAATTATCTTGATCGTTTCAGTATCTCACCACGGTGATCCCGTACAATCCAGCCGTAGGCGCCAAGGTCTCGGTGTCGGAACTGCAGATTTTGATAAAAATTCTGCACGCGATCAACGACGATTCCCCCACAGTGCCCACGCTTCTCACAGACTATATTCTCAAAGGTACGATGGTACTCTAAGGAAAGCGACGCCGAGAAAAAATCGAGCGACAAACTCATCAACTAAGCAACCGACTGATTCACCCAACCAACCTACGTAGCCACCCTACGACTTGTAACCACTAACTCCTGGCGTCGAAAAAGGTACCCTATCAGAAGGAACGATTGAGGGAAACAAAGGAGAAATCCACATCTCTGCAATTGCTGACCGGTTCCTCGCACACTTTCGATCCCGCCGAATCCCTTGCACGAAACCCTGTCGGATACAAGCTTCTGGCGGTTCTGCATTCTGCATCGAATGGAGCGCGAGGCTTCCATCTCCGAAGTAGAGTAGACGCACGTTTCCCGCGTCGACGATAGAATTAACGCTCGAGCGAGTATCCTAGAATTCGATAACAGTGAAAGAACGGAGACCAACCCGCGGTGCATCGGTCCTTCGAAGATCTCTAGAAGAGTGGAATGTGAAAATGGTAGTTCATTTAAGAAGGATAGAGAAGTGAATGAGACAGAGCTCGAGATTGGCTTGAATGGCTCACCGTTTCCACCCACCACGGGAGCTTCCGTGCACAAGTCTAGCAAATTGCCCTTAGCCTTGATATCGCCATTCGACTGGACTGAGCTGACAATTAATTCTTGTAAAATCTCTTTCCAGTGCTTTGCCCCACGTAAATGTCACAAGGGCACGACGGATCACGTCCTGACTTAGCTGCAGCCACTGCCTCTCGCTTCTCGCGCGAATTTCGAGGGAACCGAAGAACTCAAATCACTCGGGAGGCTTCCCGCGATTGTCAGAGCGGAGGTCGACCTGCCGGTCGGACCGAGAGCATGCGTCTGAGCTCAGCTTGGTGACCATCGAAATGATTCGGTCAATGGTAGTCCAGAGATTCATCCCGAGCGAGAATCATCGATGCTGAAGCCTACTGTACATTTTGTTATGTTTATAAAATCCTGCCGCCGCCCACCACCACTGCATTTGCTTGTGGCGAACTTCAATATCCAGGAGAAGGCTCAGCCGGAGACGCCGATCCTGGGCATGAACTCTAGAAGGAGGTGTCGTCGCGCTATTAGGTAAACGAACGTAGACTCTCCGCCTCGCTAACTATGGCATCACTAAGTTATTTAGAACGAGCGAATGAAATGACAGAAGAAGAGATAGAAGCCTGAACGTTGTCGATGAGCTGTTCAAGACACGAAAGATAATGTATTTTGCGAGCGATTGAGCTGCAATGTGCATCCAAGATGTCTAAGGATTAAAAGTGACTGATGATATCGAGTGAGTCCGCTAAGAATCAACGTGAAGAGATGGAAACACATTCAGGACACACCAAAGTTTCTGCCTTACCGTAATTTAGAGCTCACCTGAGATTAGAACTATAAAAAACACGAATAAATCCAACGGTGTTCGAGAAAATCCATAGTTGTCCCTCTGTCGGATGCGAGCTAGACGAATTTCAATGCTAGTTCCAACCTCGGAAGAGGTTGGTTCCAAAAGGAATACAGAGCGCTCGTCGGAGTCGCGGGAAGAAAATCTGTGGAGCAGCCTAGGGAGGCATGAGAGCTACGAGCTCCCCGAGCCCATGGCTCGCGGTGACGGAGGCTTGCGTTGACGAGTCTCATGGTTCATATATCCACGGTATTCTATCTCGTAGCCGAACCATTCGTGCATGGGGAGCTCGTCGGCAACGCTCAGACCGTCAAGCTTGCTCCCGAATCGCATAATATTCGGAGTTAAGATTCCCATTCATGATTTTTACTGGTGGTCCAACGATTCGGGCTGCCGCTGAATGTGTCGGTTGGCATCCTCTTTTTCCTCCTCCGGATTGAAGAATGCGCTATGCGGTGACAGCCGGTGCATCGAACGTTTCGAGCTTCGGCCTCGGAACTGGATAGTCTGTGCGCTAGTCAGAACGAGCGCCCCAACGGTCCGACGTCGCTGAGCCTCATGCGAGAGATTCAGATCGATATAGATATCAGCGCTACAATCTGAAATTCTCCATACGGATTCCTATCTGTCTTTTCCAGTTATCAGCCCAGATTATCGACTCAGAGACCCCGATCCGCAAGTCCCTCTGAGAGCCGGCCTGGAGGGGTCTCTAAACAAAGGGATTCAGGATTCAAAATCCGTCACACCATGTGCTCCGTACTACCCGCGTAGTCGAAATAATCGATTCAATACCGACGTAGCTGAGGCTCGTTGCTGTTGGGTTAATTGTAGCATTAATGTTCGGGAGGAAAGCAATGCATAAAGATGACAATTCTTGGAGCAAGGGAACGCAGTCTGGGAGCGTCCGGAGACAGCCCGGAAACCCTCGAATTCTAAAGAGCTACTCTTAGGAACGTCGGAGCATGGGGGCGAGAATCGTCGATTACATTCATCCGGTAAAAACTTGATGCACTGTATTTCAAAATGGAATATTCCATCAACATACTCAGGATGAAAAGGGCTGGTGGTACTCCTAAGAATGGCGTCGACAGTCGTTTTCCGATGGGCTGTTGCTGTACATTTTGCACAAAGACTGATATCAAACTTAATCATGTAAAATATTGTTGAGCAATAGGGCATGAATCATTATCTCTAGCCGTCGCGTAGCTAAGAGACCGCAATAGTTTAGTCTAGACTCTCACCTATCTGTCCCGTTTGGGAAGAATATATTGAGACTTTCAAAATTGCGTCAACAGCCATCGGTTTGTCTTAATCCGATACTAGAACACACAAAGCCACTTAATTATAGAAATTCGAAGTGGATACCGGTTTCACTATCGATCCAAGTCGATGCATTTGAAGCGTTTATCGTGCTTGGACTGCATGCTAACAGTTTTGCGTGAGCATTCCTCGAATGGAACGAGGGGCGCGATAAGCGTTCTTCTTAGAACGGCACCCGTCCTCACGTCCCAAACTTCTGTCATACAGAATAGATTGCTGGGATGTATCATAGCCAGCGCGACAGATTGATCCGCAATCGCTCTTCGACTACACAGTCAGGGCTTCACGTCGACGTGATTCAAGCCAACTGTCGGTACGTATTGCAGATGGCGTGACAAAGTAGGCAGAGGAACGGACGGATGGTCGAAGGAACGAAGACGCGAGAGAGTGGGTGAGAGAGCCGGTCGGCCGGCCGGCCAGGCGGGCGAGGTACGACTTCAGAATAGCAAAGATTTTGTCCCCGGCTTGCCCCATCTCCTATGCAAGAGCTGATCTGAAAAGTCTGGTCGCGATCGTACGTCTGTCAGTTCCCGCCAGGATGTGGATCCGATTCGACGCGTTCACGCTGACAATCTGCCTGACGTGCTGCTGTTCAGTTGAGGTTCTCGCGAGACAGTTCTCCAAATGTGAATTCGCTCAAACTTTAAGGAATCACTTCGCGGAAGAGGAAATCGCTGCTTGTAAGAGTTAAATCATGTCCCTCGCGAGGTTTCCGTGGTATTTTCCACAGAACACAAGAGCGAAGAGCTAGGCATGTTCGACGCTCGAGATTGTGAGGGATGGTCGTCTGATCGTGAATGCGAAAAAACTTGCTCGATGTCATTTCTTCATTCTCGTCTATGAGAAATCCCCGACTGAACGTTGGGCTCAGATGCTGCACAGAACTCTTGTGCGTAGAGCACGTTCAGGAAACGTTGGCCGGAGGAATTTGCTCCGAGCCGCGGTCAAGTATATGGCCAATGTATTCCAACAGCTTCTCACGGACTTCTATTTTCTGCGCCAGGGACGTGCATAGCCCAATTCGAGAGTGAATTCAAGACCGATGCCATCAATCCTTCCAACAGCGACGGCTCGAGTGATCATGGAATATTCCAGATTAATGACCGATACTGGTGCGGTCGGAGCTCCGGCTCAAACGCCTGCGGAGTGGAATGCGCTGGTGAGTATCGTTCCGAACAAAGCTGATGACGACCCTCTGAACGGGAGCTCGAATGGAATTTCACACTTGTCATTCTTTCCGTCAAATCCGATTAAACTGTATGATCCGAGCCGCCTCGACTGACGGCTGTCGATTCTTGACCCCTTTTCGGATTGAAGTTCTTCGACAAGAAGACCTGACGGAGTCCATCCGCTGTGCCCAAATCGTCAAGGACAAACAGGGATTCACTGCCTGGTGAGTTTTCAGTCTCCATTTCTATCGGAAAATTACAATCGGAGATGTTCTGAGAATCATGGAAAAATCACTCGAGGAGAACTTTGAGCTGGAGGGGGAATGGATACGATTTCCAGGGCTGTGTGGCCGAGGTGCAAGGGTCAAACAGCGACGTATCTGGATGAGTGCAACGACCGATCATTCCTGCCACCCACGATATTCGACATTCAAGTGAGTTGACGCGAACAAGGTTCCACACCGGGATTGCGCGGATGTAACAGGGCAATTTCATCATCAGTGATCATCGTTCACCAATCCATCCTCTGATATTCGATTCCCCGGCAGGTACGACCAGCTAATCGAGGACCGGGTTTCAACCAGACTAGAATCACGAGTGCCCTTAAGTCCTTTCAGCAGGCCCGGAATCAGGATCTCTACCCGCCGTATAACTCGCTCAACGACAGCAGATCCTTCAATCTGTCGTCCATCGGCGCGATGGATTTCATTGGTGGAGGGAGACTTAATCTAGGGGAGAAGCTGTCTTCCGGTTCGACCCTGGGACAGCCTCCTCTTTATCAGCCGGTGCTCTCCGGTTTGGGCGGTATGAATTTCCTGGGCGGCGTTCAGAACAGTTTCTTCACAGTGAACGGTGATCAGAGTCAGAGGAACACCTACTCTTCTCCCGGATATTTGCGCAATAGCGGTGGGATGGGTTTCCTAGGGTTCCCAGCCACCCGTTTTTCATTTGGCTCTGGGTCCCAGCTCCCCGTCGCGGGCCCCACTCGAAACGCCCCACCGAAATTGAACAACCTACGCTACTCTGGACTCCTGAATACAATGACTCTCATCGGACACGCTTATGACGCGACCACTTACCCGGCACCTGTCAAGGGCTTGATGTTCAGGAGGGGCCAAGGCATCCTGGCGAATCAGGGCGCCATGAATTTCTTGGGGGGCATCCAGGGTATCGCCTTCCGCCGGACCCTCGTTCAGAAGCCGTCAAGGACGGTGGTGCTCCCTCCGGTGAGACCCGTCAGAATTGCCGCTCCTCAACGAGTGCAGCAATCTTTCCAAGCCAAAATCAACGTGAATGCTCCAAAAGTCACAAATATACAGAACAGTATCCCTCTTGCACACTTCGGGACGGGTTCACTACTCGACCAGATCGCGCCCAACTCTCCGCGGACTTTCACGTACGTCTTCAACGAGCCTTCGGTGTCTCGCGGGAGCATTCCACATCGTCAATCGCTCGTCTTCGGGGATTCTGATTCGCCTGGTCAAGTTGAGATCTCCGACCACGTGATAAACTTTAACGATATTCTGCCGCAACGGTCTTACGCGCAGACGCTACTCCCCGCATCTTCCGTTCAGAGTTCAGAGCACAAGGCTGCCGCCGACCAACACACGGCAGCTCTCTCAGTCTGCTTTCAACTCTAACGTCCAGAGTCGATATCCCATCACAACGATTCCGCAAAGCGCCCACGTCAAGGGACCGATTTTATCGTACTCGACTGGAAACATAGTTTTCAGCTTAGGTGCGAAAGGATCCGGCCAGGTAAATTTACCTCAGACATCAGCCATCGCAGGAACCGCTTTCCAGACGAAGTTCGTGAGGAATCCTAAACAGACAGCTGTCTTGAGGAATTCACCGCAAACATCACCTTCACCACGGATTCGCCAAACAGCTTTCGGCCAGAGAACTGCCCTGAGTCCGCCGCCCACGCTGCTTTTCCCCAAGACGACCTTCTCCCGGGGTGCGCGAACCGAATTCGCGCTCCGAAAATCCCCGCCCCGAGTTTTTCAAACGACCCTGCCGCCTCGAAACACTTTCACGGTGTCCTCAGCTGTTGTGAGACTCTCGCCGAGCACTGTTCCCAGCCCCAAGCGCCGACCGACCTACGGCTACGAACCGAGGGATACCTTCGAGGAAAATACGCGCTTCCTTAGTGCCAGGTCTCTGAATACCAAGACGCCGGAGAGAGCGAGCCAGTTCCAGGGCTCTGGGCGCGGTGGATCGCAACGGAGCTTCCAGCTCTTCTCTTCCCTGCCGAACGCACAAGATCGCCCAACTGTGGCGTCACGAGACCCGATCCCGGCGCGGATCTCGTCGAGCCGGTTACCATCTCAGGGGAGAAGATTGATCTCTCCTGAAGGTCCGATCGCATCGCGACTTTTCGCTGGTTTCCCGCAGGCTGTTCAGGCCAACATGCCTGGAGGCTATGGAGGGGTCAGTTTCACGACAAGGAATGGCGTCATGACCATGGTGAAGCACTACGGTTGAGGGGGCGGTTTAGGGAATTGAGAGATGGGAGTCCTTGTATCAAACGGTCGGGGCATCGACACTATAAATATAAATGTATATGATGTTTTTAGCCGACAAATAAACGCAAGAACTGTAGGATACACGGTACTGATGAACCCGTTCTTATTGATAAGCGTCGAAGCACGAAGGAGCCTAGTCGTCCCTAAGAACTCCGATCTGAAGGAGAAGGTGGTCTTCTCAAACGCGGAAAGACGAGTTGGAATTCCGAAGATATTCTCGAGCATTGAGCGGCATTATTCACTTTGAATCGCTTCATAATAGGAATTAACAACAACATCTCACTTGGGTACGGCCAGGTGCATTCGATGAGGAGTTGTTGAGAAGACAAACTTGTCGTCGCTGTTCCGATGCTATCACGGGATGTCGTAAACGATAGCGCACAATCCGTGCGGTGCGGCGTCAATTGAAATCACGAGGTAATGCGTGAGTTCAACTTTACGTGCAGGGCGTAATCTATCTGAAGATAGTGGGCGCAGAAGAGCTCCACAAAAAGGAAGAAGGAGAAGACGCTTCACGGCGACGGTAACCAAACGTGACCGATCAGCCAATCCGGTTATCATTCGAAGACTGCGCCACTTACGGGGGCAGATTGCGGCATGAGCGTATCCGTTATTCGCTCAATCATCTCGTGTATCGATGTTTTTTGGGAGACTATCCGATGGCATGGCGCAGTAGCGGTGAGCGGAATCAAATCGGGCTGAGTTAATTGATTGGGGAAAAGTAAATCTCAATACAACGGATCCTGCGAAATTTAGGAGGAGCTTTTAGATCACTCGATCGGGCCAGGAACCACTCTTCCCCTCTACCGGTCGGGATGATATGAAATTCGCGACCGAGGATGGCGGAGTCTGCCAGGGCACTCGAAACCTCGGACCATAGTACTTCAGTTTGAATGACTTCATCCTAAAGAAAAATGCTTCGAGTCTGCCGGGACACCTGGGCAATGCGTGCGACGCATTGTTCTGAGAGGAGAAGCCCTGTCAAGACATTGCCGGGTAGAATCTTCTGGAAATGGGAGCCATTGTCACACCGAGACACTCGCCACCGGCAGCCGAGACGGCGAAATCGATTTCCAACTGACGAGAGTCAGAAGTCAGGAGCCCCATCATGCCGAATGGAATCATTCCGCTCAGCACTCAACAAAGTTCAGCGCTCGTGATGATCAGCCGCTGCCGTGGACGGCTCATTCGTTCTGTAGCTTTCTTGCTCATCCTCATCGCGAGTGGTTCCAACGCAGAGATCCTGACCCGATGCGAATTCGTTTCGCAGGCGAGAGGTCACTTCCCCGACGCGGATCTCGACAAATGTGAGCCCATCAGCCTGACGAAGCCCAAGGACTCAAGCTTTCCGATCCCCCGATTCTCAGAGTCCCTCTTGGTACTCTCGAGTTCGAGCGGCTCTGCCTTATCCCTTCGCATGTTTCCCGACCTCACATACGAATAAATTCTCCAGGGACTTGTATAGCTCACTTTGAGAGCCATTTCAACACGAGCGCCATCAGCAGCGGGAACAAGGACAAGTCCAAGGACCACGGAATTCTTCAGGTCAGAGGCAGCTTGACTTATCCTAGGCTCAGAGGGACCATAACTTTTTTCCTCACTGCCGTTTCAACTAAATGTCTGCAGATCAACGATCGCTTCTGGTGCTCTCCCGGCATACACAATATTTGCGGAGTGTCTTGCAAGGGTGAGGAGGAAGCGCGGCGAGGGTTTGTGTTCACAAGGAAATCACGCCTCCTGAGACTGATCCTATCGATCCATATGAGAATGAAGCGATATATCGCATATATATATGTCGCATGAAGGAACCCCGATTCTCTCGAAGACAAGATTACCTCATTTACAGCTCTGCGATCAGAGAATCTGACCGACACATTTGAATGTGCCAGGACCATCCTCTCTCGTCAGGGATTCCAGGCTTGGTGAGAAATTTTTCCCGCGCTCCAGGGATTACGCTGTGTCAGTCAGAGTTCGAATACGCGGACTGCGCCTGGGGCAACCACAATGATCGGCATCGGGCGCTGGAGCAGGAAATCGGCTACTTAACGGTCATGAGTAAGTAAGTTCGACGCCAGAGTATGTCCTGCCCTCAATCGGCTGCCTCCCTCATTCTAGGTCCGTTTATATGAAGTACTGCATGAATGCTACCGGCTTCATCCAAGGCTGTGGATCGGGAGAAATGCAACCTGACGGAGAATCCGGAATTGAGGGGGTGACCACATCGGCGAATCTTCCCTCTATCGCAGCATCGTACCGGAGTAGCACCTCGAGGGAGCCAAATCAATATATTGTAGAGCCCTGCAAAATCACGCAGCGCTGTGAGCTAGAATAATTGCGTAATTTACGGAGCCCAACAGCGCTAGACCCGTTGAATTCCGGACTCGTCAATTTTCCCAGAGCCTTGCGGGAGCACGTGAAGCGAGAGAAGCGTAGCGGGCATCAAAAAAAAATCGCCCAGTATGAGAATGGACCTAGAGCCGCAGAGAGTATAGGATCCCTCTTTTGTGGAATAACAAAACTTTTCTTTCCTAGCGAGTATTCTTCCTGAACACTTCGCTTCGGGGAGGTCGATCCCAATGAGAGTCTTGAGCCTCCAGCGAACGAGAAAAGACAGACTCTCCTCGGGAAAACACGAGTGACACTGAGCCCGGAAAGCAATAAATCTCGATTAGTGACTCCGCCAGCCCTTTGTCTGACGAGAAGAATCGTCGGTGAAACATCGCAGACATCTATCAGATAGAATGATTTATTTCGTTCGCTTCCGTGGAGGGAGGCACACTATGGAAAAACTTCACTTGACCAGACGATTCACATCGCTGGAGGTATCCCACTCCATGCGGACATCATAATGCGAAACAGCTATGTAGAATGGGGAGACCGTTCAGGAGTATTGATGAACTCGCTCCGATAACGTTCCCGAACAGAATGCCCGCGTCGTGCAAGCAACAGGAGTAGAACGGAATATTTACTGGTTAAACTGTCCCCCGGGAGCAGCATCTCAGACTTGACTTCGAAACACGGAGAGTTCCGGATTCTTCTTCGGACATGAGACATTCATGTCTTCTGTCAGTTGTACCTCGGACTCTCGCTGAGTCTCTCATGGGACGGTACTCCCACGTGGATCTATGCAGTGAGAGGAACATAAAGATGGTCGCGGGCGGTTCAGGAAGACCCTCTAAGGCGCGAAAGACACTCTGAAGTCGGACTGCATCTTCGCAAGGGAGGTGTGGGTGCGCGCAATCGGAAGTTATGGCGGTGCTACGAAAGGGACAAATTCTTTTCGGCAGGCTGACGTTGCGCCTTACCATGACGTCGCAGTTTACCTACGATTGTGCTGCCGCCTGACGGGATGTGGTTTTCGCTGCCGAGCTGCTCCGCACATCACTTACGTAGTCCATCCGTTCGGCGGTCCCTCCATCCATCCATCCATCCGTCAGTCCGTCAGATGATCCTTGACAATTGGCGATATCGATTTTTGTCCATACTCCGAGACTTCATCCATAATGTGAAACAGACTTGAGTCAGAGCATGGATCTACTCTGAATTCATGTTCTGATCGAGTGGTCAAGTTCCCTGACGGTGCCGACTGCGAATGCTTCTTGGATTCAGCCTTGGACGAGCGGCATGTAAGTACTCGTTTCTGAAGTGTCTATGAAAGTCGTTCATCTCTTTTTGGATCGGCCGCCCTAATGGTTTGAGTGGCGTTAAGAGAAGAGACTCGAACCATCACCACGTCTCGTAAACAACATGAGTGGAGCTTTCACCGGCGGCTCGCTCCCCGATCTCTACGTGATTCACGTCGGCAATTTCGTGAGCCTTGTCCTCGTGATGTGCTCCGTTCTGTATCTCTGCTTTTTCGCGGAGCTGCTACTTTTTTCGTTGAGAACTCGGAGTTTTGCTCGGAGATGAAGGTGCGGTTCTTCATTCAGACCGCGGCAGCAGGCTAGTGAATCTCACCCCGGATGTATGTTTATACCTCAGATGTTTATGCTCATTGCCAGATCATTTGCGTCGCCCAAAATACTTCCAGGACTACGGCTCGTATTCCGGCCACGACTTGGGCCGAAATTCCTTGGCTCGAACTATATTTGACTTGAAGATCATAAATTACCCGAGGGAGCCGTACCCGCCGAAATTTTCTCCGATGGTAATTCCGAAAGGGCGGGAACAAGTGTATGTCAGATATCAAGGGGAAGCTGCGTAGCCCCCGAGCGACATGACGTGATACGGAGCCTGAACATTAGAATCTGCGGATAGTCGGGGGGGGGGGGGGAGTTCCCTACACGATGTCGTCGTCCTATTCGGTGTAGCCAGGGAGATCCTTCTTGAGATAGCGGGGGGACGAGAGATCGCCTCGAGTTTCGCTTCCCGGAGGCGAATCGTGTGGGGGAAGAAATCCCTCAATTTTTCGGGAGTTCACAAGGAATGATCGATCCATTATCATCGATATCCCCGCGAGCGGAAGCCCGACCCTGCATCAGCAGCATCTTCAGAGAAATTCACTTTTCCGTGTGAGACCTGCTCCCTGGTATCCACTCCTGAGGTTTCAGTGTTTTTCATAATATTTCACTCTCGCATCACCGCATGCGTGGAAGTAGAGCCCCGATTATATCAAGTCTCAAAAGCTCCACCTTGATTATATCAACTTTTGTGAGGGAAAAATGGTTGATATAATCGAGTTTCCCATGTATTCCTTTGGAACCTCGATTATATCAATCCGTGATTATATGAACATTTTTTGACATCAATTAGTTGATATAATCGAGGTTCCACTGTATCCCTCTGATGAATGAGAAGGATGGCTCTGATGTGAATTGCCACTGTCCTCAGAGATTAGGCTACAAACCATGTCACTCATCACCGACGGATTTTAGTGAAAAACCTCTGCTCGTAAAATAAGAACAACGGTTCCTTATGGTCGTATTCTTTGACGTCTCAAGCCGGAGAGCGGGCCGAAGCCACGCTGGCATTTGGCAGTCCACTTGACAAAATGGTGGATATTCTGTGAGTTGTGCGGGAGAAAGACACGGATTATCATCGGACGGAGGTTTCCCTCTCATCAAGCACTCTTGATGGACCTCACGTATTTTCTGTGTGATTGAGTCTTGCGTAATTCTCTCCGCGACGTCTGATACAGCATGCGGCTTTTGGAGGGACTTGTCGCTGAGCATGATTGGACGGCGAGAGCATCACTCCGGTTCTGAATTACAAGCCCCTCGTTGATGTGTGTCATTCGAATCAAAGGAACGGGATCTCATGTGACCTCACTAGAGTCAATTGCCGTGGTGCCCTGAAGCAATTCCCCGAATCATTCCCCGAAAGAGTTCGCTAAAACTGGCGACTCATGCTTCTGTTCATACGAGACACGAACGAGCCAGGCGACGGTTTCTGCCTCAGAAGTATCAGGTCACGGGTGACGAGCATTTTATCTGTAGTCACCCTTAAATGTGCCCATCTTCAGCCTGCAGTTGTTGACGCCTGGACTAAGGACCCTCTGCTCGATCCTCTAGGTGCTCGCATTGACTGTCTTCATCGAAAAACTGTCTGATCGAGAATGAGCAGCATGGACGAACTACTTAGCTTCAAGCATCTGGCTCTGAAGTCGTCCCATTCGGACGATGAAGCATCTCAGCCAAATACCGCCACCACATCCCAAAATACGACTCCAGGAGAAACTCCGACCGGAACTCCAGCACAGCAAAGGAAAGGTAGACGTATCCTTCGGATGAATAATTCTTTACTGTATGACATCTTGATATGCACGTAGGTAAATGAACGTGTCATCACTGCTCAGCGTGAATCGGGATTGCAGGATCGATTCGACAGTGTTGAAAGTTGAAAGATATCTCTCCCTCCGTTCTTAATAATTCATAGGAGGGTTTGGGAATTCCAGGCAGCACTGTGATGAAGCTCAACATTAATGACAGTACTTGGCACATTGACAAGGTCAGAAAACGCAAGGGGGGCAAAGGCTCGGACCCCGACGACCCTTCAGGCAAACCAAAAAAAGTGAGTTGAACGTCGAGACATTTTGAGAATCCGGCAAAAGGATCTATGGATATGTCCCTCTAGAAATCCAGAGCGATGAGGAGACTTGTCCCCTTGCACACGTGTGTAGCGGAGCCGTGAAATCCGTCGACAGTCGAGTCAGACACATACATCAACGGATGCAGTCAGCGCGGGCGCCGACGCGATCCGAGCACATGCACCCTTCGATCCGATTACGCCGTGAACAAAGACTGAACTTGACATCATCTGTCAAAGCTCACGTGTCGCGACACGTTCCCTGGGCCGCCGATCCGTAGGTCAGACATTGGGGAGCTCTGATGGCAACCGAATCTAGGGCTGTACCGGAAAAAGGAAATCTCCGGCATACGCAGTTTCGGGCGATGAGATACCCCGTGTCGACAAGGAATAATTACAGGGGGACTTCGGTCGTCGAAGTTAATCCCTTTCGCAGAGCCGGTCGCAGAGCGAGGAGCTTGTTATCCGAAACATCATTCTGTAGACTCGATGGCACGGCCCCGCTATTGCCTTTTGAGTCTAGAGTCCTCCAGTCTGATTGAGGACATCATGAAACGGGGTTGAAGGCTCGAATTCCGTCTCTCAAGAGAGGAGTGTTTCAGGGGAGAAGACGGTAGAACTTCCTCAACCGAAGTACGGCTCGTTCAACAACATTCGGTGTCCAAAATGCTCCTTGGGCGAGGCGTTCGCTGATGGAGTATCCACTGTAGGTACTAACAATTATCTATTACGTGTCTCCGCGTTCAAAGACCTCACACTTCGGAATCTAAGGCCGAACAATGGCACCTTGACGTCTTGATCCTTCGATGAAATTCCACGAGACGGAGATTTCGAGCCTATCCCGAGTCCGAATCCCCGAGTCTCAGGTCGACGAGGATCGGGTCAGACAGGAAAGGTCTCGATAGTTCCGAATCGAGCGAGATTTCACCGTGTGCAAGAGCAAGCTTCTCCCGCTCTCCAGAACGAAAAGTCGGGTTATGCAAGCGGTCTCGCCGCTTGCGCCGCCGCCAGCCGCCGTCACTTCCAAGAGGAAGACATCAAACGAGGAACAGCAGCAGCATTTTTGAGCCCAGATCTGCTGCGCGCGGAGAGTTGCTCGCGGCGTTTGTTCGGCTTGTTCGCTGTATCCCCATTGTATGCGAGATAGGCGAGATGTCTTTGTACGCAAACGGCCTCGACCTGGCCGCCAGAGCTCTGAGAGCAGCGCGAGCGAGCGAGACCTGCCGACCGAGCGAACATATCAACTGGCTAAACTGGCATCGGTTTTCTACAGCCCGCAGCCACCTCATGTCGCATAGTGACCCCGGACGCTCTGAGTGCAGAACTTACATCGAGAACTTTTCTGGAAATCACAGTGACATATTCCTGGCGGTGGCGGCATCAGCAATACCACGAACGGCGAGTCGGCGCTCCTCGCCTATCCAATTAAAGCGAACGTCGCTGCCGCGAACGCTGGACTCCCGTCTCACAGCCACGGCTATGTGTCATTTCGTATCTGCACAGGCTCACTTATGAAAGGCTCAGTTCAATCGCCCGCGACGCCGGGCTGAATGTGGCTACCGTGTGCTGAACGTGTTCAGGTGAACTGCGAGAGCGGACTCATGTGAAAGACGGCCACAGTCAGAAACAGCTGAGGAGACATGAAGATCCGCATGGATAGTGCCGCTCGGAGGGGCAGTCGGTATGAACCTCGAGTGCGGATTCCGTTGCGTTACCGAGTTGTAAGTCCGCGTGGGATTCCGCGACGAGAATATCGTTCACGAGTCGAAGTCACATGACGGGTTTTGCGTGGGAGGATGTAGACATGCGAGGAGTCGAGAGCCGAGAGAATTTCTAGAGAACGGTCGATGCGTGCTCTTTCCTGATTTCCAATCCGAGTCATACTCGGACAGATTATCGTCAACACCCAATTTGTCCGTTTGGGTTTCCAATCCCGATCAGCGACATCTCATGAGCGACCAAAGGGAAATGGAGTCGACTTGGAATGCAGGGAACTCTAGTTTCGCCAAGTACGGGATGTTGTGACGGATGGCGGCGCGGTGCTTCGCAGCGCGTTCTGAACTTCTCAGCGATCCCACGCTCCGTGGCTCGCTACTCGTTCAGATCGGAAATTCCAGGCTCCCGCGGAACCTTCGGAGAAATTCAGTGTGATGTTTTGAAGGAGTCCGATCACGCTTTCCCCAGTCGGGTTGAGGCTTCCTGCCCGTTTCAATTTCTACAGATGATGCAGAATGCTAATTCATGTGATCATCCGCAGGTCAGCTTCCTGCGATCCATACCGCGACGTCTGGAGAACCCCGACACGCGATTCAGGGTTGTCTTGGGGGTTTTGATGTCGTCCATCTTAAGCATAGTCTTCTTGACGCATCATCTTCATCGAGCTCTCGAAGATTCGAAACACGTGAAGATGGGAATTCGACTTGACGAGCGAGATCTCTACATCCATCACAACTGGCGGGGAATGTTGCTGCACGGAAAACTCGGTAAGATTATCTCGTTTCAGTAATTGCTGCCATACTGAATCATCGCTCGTCACATCCGCTGCGGCTAACATCCGTTCACGATCGTTCCAGCGAATTCGCTCAGTACCGCGCTGATGGCTCACACATGTAAAACGGGGAAACCGGGTTTCTGCAAAGAATGGAAGTTCCGCGCAAGGCTCGAAATCTACCTCGACTACAGGGAGAATAACGTCACGTGCTACAACATCGTCTGGAAGAAGATGGGTCACTCCGATATGGAGGACACGTACAATCTCCGGAACGCCGAGTGGTACGGCATGGGAGAGGTGACGAATTTGTTCTGGCCCAGCCGAGGTTTCCAGGTCGACTACATCAAGTTCGCGACCGGTCAGTCCCCTCTCGGCACAATCATCAAGCCGTACTGGTTGTCGTCGAAAGGTGTCGGGATCCTAGTCCATAAAAAAGAACAGGATAAATTGTTATTCAGTTTCAACAGCACGGGGGATAATCAATTGCTCCTGTACACTACGGATAACGTTCTCAACTACACAATATGCAAGGGCGAGACCGCGTTCGACGTGCACATGTCGTTTTTTCCGAATCTTTCGCGGAAACCTATCGAGCAGCCAGCCAACCCCAACATGACCCAGAAGACAACCCCTTCACCCCAAGAGCAAAAAGAATCCCTCTTAGAAGGGAACTCCACAACGGCGCTGTTCCTAAAGAGGGCGATCCTGGCACCGCAAGTCGATCAGGTCGAACATTTTAATCAAACGATGATCTCGGCGTTCGCGGAGAAATTCAAAAGCGATCAGGGGATAATCCAAGGACATTTCGTCATTCTCCAGCACTGGTGGCAGAGAAGTTCGGGCGACCTCGACTTCAATTCGGAGCGATTTCCGAAGCCTGCCGAGATGGTGAAGCAGCTACATAAGAACGACATGCGAGTCATGCTCGAAGTCGATCCGTACATGTGCCTGAACTCGACGAACTTCAACTCGGTGTCGCGGGGCGAGGTCCTGATCCATGACGAGAACAGCGTCCCCCTCTTCACCCGCTGGAAAGGACAGCTCTGCTCCCCTATCGATCTTTACAATATCAATAACGCGGTCAAGTGGTTCCTGGAGAAACTTCAGAACCTCAAGAAAATCTACGGCATCGATGGCTTCGTCTTCCAAGGGGGGCAGTCTTCCACACTGCCGTACCACTACGTCAACACCAAGGGCAGGAGCTACCTCCATCAGTACCTCTACGTAGTGGGCAACGTGAGCGAATACGTCGGAAGTCCTGGAGGTGACAAGGGTTTCGTGTCCCTCGGCACGCAACCACCAACTTGGGAAACCCTGAAGAGTCTCCCAGCGAAAGTGATGATGATCGGTTTGTTCGGGAACAATATAATAAACCCGGGATGTGTCGGCGGTGACCTCGTCATGGGTGGGTCGATCGAAGACACTGAACTTTACGTTCGCTGGTGGCAATTCGCGGTCTTCATGCCGGTGCTTCAGGTATGCCGTGTCCCGAACGAAGCCATAGCTGGGGACTTCGTGGTGGTCAAAACAATCCGCAAACTCGTAAACTTGAGAGAAAAGAAGATTCTCAAAGCTATCGAGAAGTCCCTCACCGAAGAACCGAATTTTCCCGTGGTTCGACCTATCTGGGCCCTGGATCCTAAAAATGACAATTGCTACAAGTTCCCGAACCAGTTCGCTGTAGGAAACGATATGATTGTGGCACCGATCCTCGAACCAAACGTCAATGAGACCCTCGTGTACCTTCCGTTCGGGACGTGGTGCGAGGATCAAAAAGTCCACGGTGGTGAGAGTACTATCACGGTCAGAGCCGAACTGGATACGGCCATCTATTTTTTCAGATGCAACAAGACCGTGTCCTACGGGACGCATTGAGTTTGACGAGGTCACACGTTCATGGAATTTTGGAACAATTATTATTCGTGAGAGTCTCGATTATCGGGATCGCGAAGTGGTGATAATCGTGATAATAGGATGCGGAGTTTTGCGATCGGAGAAGGTCGCAGGTCTAACCGACAGAAATCGTGAGATAATTGGAGATATATGTAGGCATTGCATAGAAAGTGTAGATAGGAGTCGACTGCCAGCAGTATTACAACTCTCGCTAGAAGTTCGCTCGAGAGTCTGGCAAAATCCTAGATTTCATTGTGTCTGTACATACACTGTTTTACGCGAGTCTCCTGGCTCATAGTGAGCCGACTCGAAAATTCCTACTCCGAAGCTTCGGTTGAAGATACTGTAAGCAATGTTCCTCCTACTCGAGTCACGACACAGTATATTTCTAGCATAATTTCATCGTTCTTATCATTATTTTTTAAGGATAAATAAATATGCCGATTCACACCGCCCATTCAGGCCGATGCTCATGTATTCTCCTTTAACTGATCCGTGATCCGTATGCGACTTCTTCGACCACGCGTGAAACTGCGTGGCTGGGACGAGAGCTCCGTTCCAGCCACATGATAGCCCGTCACGATGACTCGAACCTCTTCTGAGCATCTGGTAAGTAGCGGGGGGAAAGCCGCGAATTGCCATCGTTTCTGTCTCGGAGATTCATTTCATTGAGGGTCCAATCGAGTCCCCTCGACTCGTGGTATATCGACCGAAATTCAGTCGAAATATTTCGTGTCGAACCTGATCGATTCCGGCTCGATGACGGAAGGGATATCGCTGCCGTGGAATGAAAATCACGAAATTGAAGCTACTCTCAGAAGATCAAGTGCAAGTTCCGCCCAGAGATCGCGAGCCTCTCGGGTACCCGTCTCTCTAAGCACCCAAGAAGCCAAGAAAGACGGAAGCAAGAAGAATGCGAAGCTGCTGCAACATCAAATATGCTCCTTTTTACTTTATTCGGAGTATACGCTGATTTTCTCCGCGCAATCATCAAGAAGAGAATCCTTGGGCGAGAACTTCCGATACAGCGTCAATGTTCCATAACCACGACGTCTACATTACAAAAATCCATGGGGGCAACGGGGTTTTAGATTTACAACAATTATATGATACATTAATTTTCTACACTATATTTCGCGCTTGATCGCACCTTGGATATTGATTACGGAGGCGTACGTTTTCTCTCTAAGCGACCCCGATGCTCCGGGAGGATTCAGAGCCACGATTAACAACCTCAGTCTCTTGAAGATCGCTCAAAAATCATCCCTGATTAGTGAGCTCCTCCAAATCGAAAATTCTCATTCTCGTTATCCTCCCCGAGTACTCTACCGCGAATACTCTCCAGTAAAATTTACAGAAACAATGAGCGGAGGGCGTCCACAAATGCCGCCGCAGGGTTCCAATCCGTCGGCGAGCATCGCGTTCTTGGAATTCACTAAACCCTGAATGTCGTCCTTACGAAGTTCACCTACCCGGCAAAGGCCCGTGAAAAGTATATGTACACCCCTTCCACAGCATGCTCTTCGAAAGTAGTGATCTCATGCAGGAGTTTTGTGATCTTTGGGGTAGCTCTCGAATCCTTTCATAGGATGGCCGAGCTATGCATACGTCAACCACAGATCTGACTACATATTCACTCGGAGGAAATTAGGGCGTACTGCTCTTGACAATCTGCAACTGAGTGGTTCCATCTTCCGCATGGATCTGTACAACATCGTGGATTCGTGTGCCATCGCTAATTTGGAGTGGTCGACCGTCTTCGTGCTTGACGACGTGCATGATGGTAGCTTCTTGAGTGTCAGATCCGTCAACGCTCACTGTTACGATCGATGGGTGACCCGTTCCTGCGGTAAGAAAAACTCATTGTAGTTCCTCCTCCGATCGAAAATCGTTCGTGACCACGACGGAAAGCGTCGACGTGCGCTTTCGACACCGCAGCTCTCATTTTTCCCATTCACGTCCCGATTCATTCGCATCAACACTGCACCGGGATTTTTCGGAAGTCTCACCATTTTCCGGAACCGATTCGATCTGGTCAATGTCGGAATCACCACCTTCAATCGCCAAGCCGCTTTTCTTAGCAATATGCGTCTTCAAGTGTTTACTTAAGTGGTCTGATCTCATAAAGCCCTTCAAGCACTCCGCGCACTGGAATCGCTTCTCCCCCGTGTGCGTCCTCTTATGTCGCTGGAGCTCGTCGGATCGGGTGAATCCTTTCCCGCAGAACAGCCAGTCGCAGACGAACGGACGCTCCCCGGCGTGCCATCTGATGAAAGAAAAATAATCGAGTTTTGAGAACGCTCTCTCAATGAGAAGTGGCAACAGCACCCTCTGCTCGAGCTCGTGAAAATCGGATTCGGATTCTATCACGTTGCTGTCGACTGACCTTAAGTGTGCTCTCAGATGACTGGTTTTGCCATAAACCTTATTACAACCCGGCATATGGCAGATATGTTGACGTCGTCCAGGGGTTTCGCCGTTTGGTCTTAACGTTCTGTGACCTTCGCTATCTCTACAGTTGGGACACGTGCACGCGACTCTTCGGAGTCTTCTTTCACCAGTTGCAAGAGGAGTACCGTTCACGGTAGACACGGGCGTTATCGACGCGGTGGATGTGCCATTCGTCTGAACATCGCCAGACACGAGGACGATCTGCTGCTGCTCCCCTCCGCCTGTCGTGGCTGTGCCTGCAATTGGGATCATTGTTAATGTTGTTGATGTTGCCACTCCGTGATTTGATTGCTGAACTCCTGCCAGTATCAAGTCCCGGGTCGTGATCGCCTCCGCGAAAATTTGAAGGAACGTCAGTAAACTCACTCTCTCCGTTGCTTATCGTAGTTGCATTAGCCGCTTGTATCGGAGTAGCCTGAACAGTGACTGTGGGAGTTGCCGCTTGTTGAGGAGCTTGAGCCGTGGCTTGCGCCGTCGAGCCGATGTTGACAACCTGCCACCGACTCGGATCATTCGGATCCTGCTGTATCTGTTGTGCTGTTTTGAGAAAAAAATCGGATTGGAATACAGGAGAGAGGTTGCGGATCAGAGCGAATGGAATCGCGATGATTCCGGGAGGTTTGTTGGCGACTTCAAAAGCTCATCTCGGGAAGTAATTCGCACGGTGCCCCGTTGGACGTACCGACTATTTGTTGACCGTTGCCAGCGAGTTGAATCGTTTGCAACGGTGACAGGGAGCCTGCTTGGAGCCCGAGGGCTTGCAATGTTGTTCCTTGAATCACTTGTTGGTTCGCAGCTGCGCTCTGAATCTGCACCGGGACGCCATTGATATTACCTATTTGAATGACGTTCGGTGAACGCAAGCCTGTCAGTTGAGCCATGTTCATCGCTCCTGGGTAAACCATCGCTCCACCTGCGGGACAGAGAATAGACATGGTGAAATCGATGTTTCGCTCGTCAATGCTCATAGATAGGTGATAGATTAACTCGGTGACGTATAGCCGTGATTTACGTTCTCCAGACGGGTGAACCTCCCGAGTTCGGTCTCGATCGCGGTCATCGCCGGAATCGTGATTATCGAAGACTAGCAAAAGTTGAAAGATCGTGCAAAAGCATGCTCACCGCTGAACATACCGAGATTCACTTGCTGCCCATGGACTATCTGACCATTTGGCAGCTGCAGAGCCACCGTCTGCTGTTGCGCCTGCGCCAGCGCGGCTGCCGTGGCGGCATCTGCTGCCCACTGTTGAACAGACTGCACGCTCTGCACCTGCTGAACTTGCGGGACCGATATCGACTGGACGCCTGTCGCAGACTGCACCGTTTGGGCTTGGCTCTGGTTCACGGAGGTGACCGTGTTCTGTGACGAAGCGACCGAGCTGGACGCTGTGGGACTTGTCGACTGCACTTGCAACTGAGTGAGCTGCGGCTGCGTCAAGCCGGCCAGTTGGTGCAGCATGGGTTGACCTAAAACGTTCGACATTCCCCCCATTCCGAGGGTTTGCACGGGTACGTGAACCGTCTGTAGAATCGTCTGCCCATTCGGTGTTTGTACCGGAATCTGCATCGGGATGGTAGTTTGCTGCATGGCAGGCGCTGCCACGGGTACTTGGATCGTCTGAATTGAATTGCCTGCGAGAAGATTTCGGTTCTTTAAGCGGCAACATCGATCAGAGCATCAGCAGAGGCGGGGGGCAGGGGGGAGGGGGTTCTTTGCATTCATAATTGTGCACCGTGAGAAAATGTGTAAGCGGAACTCACCATTTCTGATGGTGACATTTTGGTATGCCTGTGGACTCCCTCCGGGGTTTCTGACCAATTGTCCCGCCTGATTTGTGAGGGCTGCGGGGATGAATATGGCTTCTTGTCCGTCAATTTGAATGTTCTGGATCTGGGGCGCAGACGCCGAGGCGGGTATCACGTTGTATGTTAAACCTAAATAGATTGGCACAGTTTTAGCATATGGTAAGTGAACGATAAGGATGAACCATGCAGGCATCGATGGGCGAACAAAACCGGTAGCTCACTTCACACGGGGAAAGAACCGGAAGAAGATTCACTGAATTCTACGAATCGATTCATGAAACTCTGATGAGATATAGCCGAATTTCGATCTTCTATTTTTTTCGTTCCTAAAGAAAAGCATCTCCCTTGACACCGCACCGTTCCAGACATGACAGAGTGGAAACATTTCGAAATGAAGGGAGAATAACTCAAGGAGGGCATTCAGCAGCGCGCCTGAGGCGAGTCGAAGCCTGTCCGACCCTCCCCCTCATTCTGTTCCGTTCTGTTCTCGACACAAAGGTCCGAAATGAAGGGCAGTGATACTTGGGCTGAGAAACCAATGATTCTCTGACTAATGAGCACTCACAGCAGAATGAAGGTTTCTCCCGGCGAGAATATAGAGCGATATGATTTTACATAAAGAGATCGCTCCAAATCAACTTGACAGCTATTAGCCTCGCAATTCTAGCGTTCTCAAGCTCCACCCAAAGGCAAAGGAGGGGCTACTCCCGCAGCACATTGTTCATTTGGATCATTTCTATACACGCCTCGAATCGATGTTCTCTGAGGTGGGGTCTGGACCGCTCCGATTCTTCCGAACACCACTGTTCCTCCAGAAAGACTCGGGGTGAACATAATATTCCACCATCGCCCATGAAGACCTACGTATCAACGATCGAATCACCCAATCGCCACCGAATAATCCGATTGTTCCCTCTGCACTGCTTTCGAGCGCCGTCTCTCACGGGGACAATCATGAATTTCCACCCCAAAAGTTTCCTACTTTTGTGATCAGGCATTCCCTTCTCGGAAGAATTTTCTTCCGTTTCCCACTCCTATCTGCAAGACAACAGCCCCTCGCAGCCGTTAGGCCTAACCCTCGGAAACAGCGGGCGAGTCATGTCGAAAGAAAAATCTGGTTTTGGTTTCCTTCTGAAAATACCCTTCTATTCCATAATGATGAAGATCTTGGGAGAGTTTCGGAGCCCATTCCACCGTTTGGAAGCGCGGATGAGACGGATACATTCGCCACACGAGCTCAACAAGAGCATATCTGACCCGAGAGAGGGACATAGACAGATGAAAGCCAATGTAATAGTTGCCGATTCGAATTACGCGGATTACAGAGCTTTCGACCGGAGTGAACATGAACCGCTCGAGGCTTTTACTGTTCAAATTGATTGAGGAAACTTTCAGGTCCGAAGTGTCGGTCGAGTACTGGCCGCCCCCGGGTTACGCCTTCGACTCCACCTCCAACAAGAGACACACATGTGGTGCTAGGCAATGTTTACTCAAAACCATACTAAGCCATGATGGAGGGACATCGGAGAGTTTCAGTCGACGAACCTTGGCCGTTGACAATCTGTGTTGCACCGCCGGCATTCTGGATCAGGGCCTGAATCTGGCCCTGCACTTCCTGCCCTGCGGCTTGCGTGGCAGCCGTTTGGTTGGCAGCAGCTCCCGATTCCTCGTTCATGGCTGGCCCGCTCCTATGGCCGCTGTTCGTTCTTCTTCTCGAAGCTAGGTATCCAGAGAAGCACACGCTAATCTAACAACGTGAACGAGGGGTTTCCCGGTGCCGCACGCGAAAAAATCGAAGCACTTTTGGAGTTCCCTCAAGCGAGCTTTTGCGCCACCGAATTCTCTCGTTAGCCACACACACAAAGAGTTGGTAGTGGGTCTGCAGCGGCCGCTGCTCCTGGGTTGGTCCGAGCTTCGACGACTGCCTCCGCCCAGAGGCACCGCGGTCCTCAGGCTCACGAAGTAGATCCAAGTCTGGCGACCTTCGGACAGATTTCTTTCAGTTCTTGGACGTTTGGATTCCCGCAAAAGGTCGTCGTGGGCGTAAGATGCTGCTCTATTCCTATTGGGGATGATTTTCGCTCTTTTTTTCCGAAATTCACAGAAGGACGAGTTCTGTTTACACGCTACGCGTCGTCTGCTAAGGCTCATTGAGCTTCTGTTGATAGGAAGGCGGCGGCGTTGGGAGGGATTGGAATGGACCGCCGACGACACCAACAACAACGACCTGCAGAGCGAGCGGGTGAGTGAGCGAGTCGGGAATGAACGAGGGCAGCGCCGCAGCGCCAGCAACCGCCTCGACTACCACCACCACTAACGGCGGTAGCCGCAGCGGCGGTGCCAAACAGGCAGGCCAGCGGGCAGGCAGGCAGCTCTAGCGAGCAATCGCACAACCAACGGTGCCATCGTGGAGGAAGAGGAGGACTTCGAACTGCCGGCGGCGGCTGCCTTCCCCCAAGTGTAGCTTCGCTGCTTGTGGGCCGGACAAGCTCCTCGACTGGGTTGGGTCCTGGATCGCTTTGCGTGGCTCCTCGTTCGCTCAAAAACAGCATCCTGGCCGATGGCGGGGTCTCTCCGCGCCTGATCTCAAGCCGCGCTTCCGAGAGGTTCCGCCGCGGCCGTTGCGACCGCCATTGGAGGCTGGATATAGAGCTCGCTCGCTCCCTCGTTCGCTCTTTCGTCATTTCCCGGGGAGCGAGCCGAAAAGAAAGGCCCACCTGAGTTTTGAGAGCTCTTGCTCGTTGACATGCACACAAACGGGCGGAGCTTTTCGTTAATGGCGTGCCACCGCTGGCCGCGATACCGGCGGCGGAATGGCACCACTCCTAAGCACCACCGCTCTCAAGCCGTCTTGTCGACCAATAAGACAGAAGTCTGCGATGCCCACTCCCTTCGAACGCGGAACGGACTCACGGGACCCATCTGATTTGATCTCATGGAAGTAAGAAGCTCGCCGGAAAATTATTGTATCTTGAGCCAAGATACTCCAATGTCGAGCGGAGCAGCCGGATACTTTTCCATATTTTTTCCCTTCTGATCCCGCAGCTGAAGTCCAAGGACCCTTCGTATTTTCGTCTCGACATGTGAGGATTCCTCGATCGTCTATGCGCCTGCGCCATGGGGCAGACCTCGATTATGAAGTTGAATCAGCTTTCTGAATTCATTGCCGAGCGCCAGGTCTCCGTTGGATTCATCTCCTCCAGGGGAACTCAGTGGGAGGCACGGCGGAAGTCCACTATCATCTACTTTGCCGTTTTCCATCTTTTTTTTCGACCGGGGTCTTATCGCTAGATAATGCTATCAGCGTCTTCAGCAGAGCTCTAATCAGACCGCGTGGCCGGGTTCGGAAAATCGAAGCGATCCGGGATATTCGTAGACGCGAATATACTTCTGCGGAACTTCTGTGAGACTTTCGGAAACAAGACAAAGCTCAGCGAATTCGAGAAGCGAAAATTCGCTCCAGAGAGCAATTTCGATGAAGGACGAGCTCTTGAAACTCTATTGAGCAAGCTTCCGAGCTGCATTAGGAATGTTTCGCCCCCTTCCCCTCCCTCACCCCCGTGGAAATCATAAATGGTCTCCGGCTACATATCTGATGCGATTCTTTTGCACCACGAGCTGTATTGTCAAGGCACTCTCCGGTTCATGATGAGCTATAGCGGCTAGTCCACGAATCCAGCCACGAAACCACAGCATCGACGTCAATCCGCATGAACTGGACGGAAGCAGAGAACGATTCTAAAATCCTGATTACAAGCAGTTCGAGCCCCGGCAATGAGATGGTACCGATTCGTGTACAGTGTACACGAATCGGGGACGCATCAGCGATAGAGATCAGAGCAGGTACCATTAGTGTAGGACAGTCGATTCCCTGCTGACCGCTTTCTCACCGCCAGTCCCCGCGATATTCCTGTTTTTCTCCACCGGAATACTAATGGATTCCGCAGAAAATTGCCGCGGGAAATTCATGGCTCTCCTCCTCATTAGTCACGGGACTTCGGAGGAATTCGAGCTCAACAGGGAACTCTGAGCTCTTGTGCTATTATTCGAGACCGCCTTCGACAGCGCATTATGGACTTTGAAACTTCTTTCTAATTTCGACGGATTCCCCCTTGCGGTCGATCAGGTCGACTCAGGAGCTCCACTTGATCGAGCCGATGAATGCCGATTTTCCGATCGAATTCTGCTACAGAACCGATTTCTGGAGAAAACTTCTTGACCGAAAATCGCTATCTCCGGGCAACGTCGTCGCCGTAAAATCTGTGAACAAGTGCCAGACTTCGGAACTAATTCAGCACAACGGCCCCAAATTCCCGCCTTCGACAACTGCACCACGCCTACACGGTTCTTAAAAGCAGGCAAGGTTGTTCTGCATTCGGGGTTCTCCTGAATCGGTTCTTTAACACGACTTGCCCGCGAGGGGCGGGTGAGGGCGGCGCGTAGAGCTCGTTCTTCAGACTGGGTCCTGTTTTCGTACTGCTGTCCTCTCGATTCCAGTCCTGAAATCCGTGAATTTGTTTCCGAAACCTCAACTCGGCGTGGGCTGGATCGGGGAGTGGCATTCGATGAATGCATCGAAAATATATCGAAATAATAATTCGTTGCCAGCGGCAAGGAGCCTTCCCATGAGTTATTTGCTTCTCCCGCGCGGGTCATGCGGACTGGACGCTCTAAATGACTGGTTCCTCCGAAGTCTCCGAATTCCGGAATTCCGGATCAAGAGGGTACCCAAGGGGCATCACTCATGGGAGTCCTACCGTGGACCGAAGAAAGAGAACGAATCAAGATTCCCCTGGTTTTTGAAGAGTGTTTCCTAGGAGTGCGTATGAGAAATGGCAGGAAGGGTACATGTATACAGAACCTTAAATACCAGTCGCATATAGTTGCTCAAAGTTCAGGATCCATAATCTTCCGCAAAGAGGGGCCAGCGGCGTTACTCGGAGTCGTACACTGTACTCTTTTGAAGTCCGATCAGATGATCGAAGCGGGATCCGGCGGCTTAAGCATCAAAATGCAGGAAACGACTTTGGCTTTGTTATCCAGGACGAAAGTCTGGGTCAGGGCTGATGAGGCAATCGTAGTTTGCGGAATTATGGAACGAAGAATTCATAATCATCTGATCTCGGACCTGAAACGAGTTGAGTTAAGCAGCGAGCGCAGCAGTCCTCGGCCACAGTTCCCGAAGAGTGAGAAACAGAGGGGGGATGAATACCTTTCTCTGAGGAATATTTTGCTGCTCGAGTCTTGTAGTGATCAGGTCTCTATTCAAAACTTCTAAACTGTGTGCCACAAGGTGAGACACACAGCCTTTCGCGAGACACTGGATCCCAAACACTCACGCTGCGATACTAGGGCGAAGATGAAGACGGAGACGGACCATCGCGATGACGGAAAATGGTCAACTTGATCCTTTTGCTTTTTTCCGCTCCGAAGGAGGCTTCTTCGTACTTCCGTTAGATTGTCATACGGAGTAAGAAACTTCGGCAGGTACTCCTCAACGCGGGAAATCGTGTCCAGTCCGGACTGCAGACACTTACCGACGAACGTTTTGTCCGACGTTCGTTAACTCGAGTATCACGGAATTCAATCGAATTATGTCAATCCCGCTCACCGAATCTACTCCGATATTTATGCGCTAGCTATGATTTCCAGGTAAATCATGAGTCCGCTGGCCCAGAGAGAGAGAGAGCTGACTCTTGGACACGAAGCCTTGCAGCTTCTCGATCCCGGAGTCGCTCTCCATAGGTCGCGCCAATGGAGGCGGTAACCTCGGCGAGATCCATGATCGATCGTGTTTTTTCGCTTATGCACCCAGGAGCTCCTCTGCATAGACCTGTTGATCCAGGTGCTCTAATTTCCTTGTGCCACACCGGAGAGCTCAGAGAAGAATTCAAACCGCAGGAGTGCAATGAAGTTCTCTCTTCGAATCATCGATAGGAGCCAGAGAAATCGCTCACGGCCCTTCTCCCAACTCTGCATCTGCGAAACAATCGTTGTCTCGCGACTCGCGAACTAACATTTTTTCATCTGCAGTACGCTCAAGCTGAACGGGAACAATCAGGTACTTCATCGGCTGAGAGAACTCCTCATCTGAAAGTTCCCCTTAAGAAGGAACGTTCGTGAGACCTCGTTCGGGAGGCATCGGATTGTACATAGCTCAGGTAAATCGAGCCGCAGTGGTTGATCTATCAGGTATGCTGATCTATCCACGCCCATTGAGAACAGTAGATCAGTTGAGGGTTGAGAGTTGACTAGGGGTCGACTTCCCTGGTGAGCTGACAGAATTGCTCTTGATATCCTACCACACCAACGGCGGAAAATGGACAACATTGATCGGTCACGCTGTAACGAGCCTCGTCTTCGTTTCTTACAGGGGAATGGTACTCCGCCTCCGAGGGCGGAAGTCGGAGCGCCTCGTACCGCAACGCTTCAGGAGGTTCGGATTGAAACTCAGCGGAGCCGCGAAACAATCGTCTGACGCTTAATACGCCCTCCCTGAGGAAGCGATTGGCTATCCTATCTGGCAATATCGATGATTCGTCAACCGCACCAACCAGCGGTCGGACGAAGCGTCAAGACCCAATTCAAGAGTGCTCTCAGGATATCACCGCTCGTGGCGGCTGGTGGGTCCGCCGGCGCTTGTCCGGTCACGCTTCGAGTCTTTTTTCCCTGCTGCGGTTGACTGTGGGCGTCGAAGAGGCTCCCCGTTGCCGACGTCTCGCTTGTGTCCTCGGTCGAAGATTTGATGTCTGATTCCACATCGTTGCTCTTCTGTTTCTCTGTTGTCTCTCGTCTGTCTTCTGTCCCAGCTTCCGGTAGCATCGAGTGCAGATTCCCGGAACATCCGCACGATTCTCCCCTGCTTCCCGAGAGCTCCACCTGCACGTTTCCGGCGCTCCAGCTGATCCTGTGCTTGTGATCTTCCACCAGTTTCAAGGCTCTTGACCTCCGATAGCTACGGAGTCCAGGCACCTTCATCGCTCCCTACCATCCGTTTCTCAGGCGTCCTGACTGCATGAACTAAGGCGATTACCGCCCTGATCCCGCTCTTCGTCGCTCGACAGATCATGAACGCTGGTATCTAGGATTCCTTCTGGAATCGAGCTCTGGCCGGGAGTTACGGCTCCCGGAAGGGAGAGCACCTCCCAACAATCGCGTGAGAGATAGGTCACGATTAAGGCTCCCGCAGCGTGCAATTCCAGCGTGACGTCACGTCGATGACCAACTTCGCCCTGCATGCGTTTCCCAAAGGTTCAGCTAGCGCCCTGAATCGATCGTCTCCGAATCCCCGAATTCTCAGAACAGCTACGTGAAGGCCGTGGGAGAAACATAGGACGTGGTAGGATTGCTTCGCCGTCCTTCGCTGCGAATTTTCCTTATCTGCGCATGACGGAGGCGGCGCGGTATCGCGTCGGTGGTCAGGCCTCGAACGTCTCTGATGGTCCGGTTCGAGTTCTTGGGGAATCTCAACGGTGAATTGACTCAATTCCCGCCAATATTCGGAGCTGGACGATACGGGTGAAGATGACACCTTGATGTCACAAGCAATATTCTGGCACATTCCCATGCTGTAGGAGCTAATCGAGATCGACTAGCTCCGGTACCGCTCTTCAGCCAACTCGAATCGATAAGGCGACCATACGTCCCGAGCACTGACGGATTCCCTCTCAACCCAGACAGACTAAGCTATTTCTTGCCCGTCAGCACTTTCGGACACCACGAGTACTTCTTTCTGCTCTCTCCGATCCCGGATCTGATTAGCCAGGGCTTTCCAGCATCCGGTTGCCCATCGGGAAGGAATAGAACGTAAGACCGAAATATCGGCGTTTTGAGATTATTCGTTCTGGGGAAACTCATCATCAGCCCAATCTGAACCAAGAAGGCACGCAGCGTCGGGTCGTCCACGGAGGCATCCACTGACTCGTTTCCGTCAGCTAACACAGTTCGACGAATAATTTTGTCGGAGCTCGGGTCCAACACCAACACGATCTTTCTCATCACTCATCACCTTGCTGCTTATCGCCCTCTTCTCCCGCTACCTTTACCTTGATTTCCTGAACTCTTCCGAAGTTGTCTCAACCCCTCACGTCGATCCGCGAACCCGATCCTCCCTTGGGATTTCTCTCCACCTATCCTACAGCTTGAGCCTGGGTTCCTGCTACCGCGTCTGTCGCTGACCAGGAACGGTCGGGTCAGCGCTAGACCGCAGGCTGTCTCCATTCCCCATGGGCGAGAAGTGGACCTTATACAACTCCGTTCTCTTTCCGGGGGCAAGAGCGTCAGCCGACAAGGGCGATTCGGCTCGCGCCGCCACCTCCCTAAAAGCCCGAGTCACTTCTCTTACAGACCTGTTTGCCGGAAAACGAAGCCTCCGGGTCCTCGTGGTATGTGTCGGCGATTACCCATAAAACATCCATTCAGGTCGCGGAAAACCGCGAATTCGGCGAGATATTGCTGCGAAAAACACACTTATATCACGAGTAAGCCTTGCGGAAGGGGGAACCCTCGGGTGGGAAAAGGCCTTCCTACTAAAATCCCAAGATGCACTTATGGAAAAGGTTTCTGTGATCAACGATGTTCCCTTCCCGAGACGGCCGTAATTCTCCCTTAAACAAGAGGCTCATATTGTTCAGTGATCTCGAGATGAGGTGCTCCCCGCAAAATCGCAACCCTGGCCCCGAATTTCTGTCTGCGAAGCCCGAGGTTGTCAGATCTCTTTTTGCCTTCATCCGTGTTGGAGTCAATGTCGCGCCCGAGACCGAAATCGCGATGGGTCTTGTTACGAGCTCGATATCGGACCGATGAGACTTCTGACCTAACCTATCGTCAGATTGATCGGCGAGAGTTTTCCAGGATGCTCAATGGGCTTGCGCGGGTTTCGTGGTCTGCCTCATCTCTAAACCCACACATCGGCCAGATTCCGCGTGTGTTCCTCGTGAGCAGGGGAGAGGGCGTTTGTTTTCAGTAACGCGGTCTTCCGGAGCTCTGGCGGAGCTTTTGAGAGAGCGGTACTCCCGGGAGAATAAAGACTAGCGACGCACGTGGGACGTTTCGCGCCGAGGAGAATCTGTGGACGTAAATCTCTGATTCGCTGGAGATTCGGCCGCCACCATGGTCAGCGACCGAGGAGATATTGTCGAACGCGAAGCGCAAAGACTCGTGATGGGTGAGACCTCTTCGGCACAAGATAAGATCGTTCCGATATGACATCTGCGATCCTTGATCATTGTGGAGCAGTGACTGAGGCTTCGCAAATGTTTGGATAAGCTAGAATGAGTTAAAGGAAGAGTTTCCAGCAGAGAGGGCGCAATGTCCCTCGTTGGTTCGGAAACGAGCGATGCTGAGCTGATTTGTGCGCATCGCGCGCACCTGAATTCTTCAGTGAAGAGAGCATTGGGAGGCAGGATCTCAAGACGATTCTTTTCCCGCTTGCTCTTTCTCTTCTATGGATGACGCTCACCGAACGGAGCCCTTCCGACGTCAGAATTTTCATTCTCGGACCAAAGCGCTTGGTCCTAAGGGGGTTTCCATTCCAGCAATAACATCCGGAGCCACGAATCTCCTCGCTGTGATCGAATCCATGGGATCCACTCTGAATTCCGAGGAAGTTGTGGTGCGGAAAGAAGCTCTGGAGACCCTGGGCGAGGTTATCCGAAGCATCCCGTCCGGATCTCTGAACGAGGGTGAGGTCGCACCACTGCTGGCGTACTTCACCGCGCAGCTCAAGGGCCACCCCGATCACTCCAGGGCGGCCATCATCGCTCTGAAAGCTCTTGTGAGTTCTTAGCCGCTCTCAAATCGCTTCTTATTTCTGGTCGGCATCGGGATCCGAATCGCACACAATCATTCGTCTCTCTTCCCCAGTTCGAGAAACAGCCAGTCCCAAAAGACGCGGTGGGACTATTCATAGAACGATTCTTCAACGACACGGCCCTTGTTGATCTGACGCGAGACGACAAAATGAAGCTGTACCTGATTTTCCACAAGATCCTGACCGATGCGTCTTTCCTAGAAGCAGCTAAGAAAATGCACAGTGCTTTCCTTCCCGGTTTCCTCCAGCTCATCGAAGCAGAAACCGATCCTCAGTGTCTGATGCTATGTTTCTCCATGTACCAAATCGTTGTTAGAAATTTCCCGCTCGGGGTTTATGCGGAAGACATGTTCGAGTACCCTGCAGCCTATTTCCCGATAGACTTCAACGCGGTGAGTCTTGTCATGTACCGGCTTAAAGGAGGCATGACCGAGTATCCGAATATTCCAGTATCGAGGTGCGCGGAGACGAAGTGTCTCCGAATGAATATCTGGGAGTCGACGTTTTCATTTACCCTGAATGTTCCCTCGTTCCCCCATAAGCCACCAGAGCGTCACGGAGGCGTCACGAGGGGCAAACTGCAGGAAGCTGTCGAGGAGTGTCTTCTGAGCCACAAATCGTTCGAAGAACATGTGATAAAACTCTGTTTAGAAAAGTTGACGTCTCAGCACCCCGATGCCCAGATCGACTCACTACGACTGTTGGTTAGTTCGCTCATGGGATTTCCGCCTTTTTCTGGCGATGAATTTCCATCGTTTCGTTCGTGCATATGGGTAGAGCCTCTCGTCAACCGAAGTTCACGTTGCAGAAACGAGCCGTATTGAAGTATGATGCGTCCATCGCTACAGAATATTCTCAAGCCATCTGGCCGACGTTGAGGATGCTCTACATGGGGCACCGGTGAGCACTGGATACCTTTCTCGATACATGGGAGGGACAAAAATTAAAACTTTTCGCCTGACGAAACTTGAGACGCTCCGAAAAATATTTTCCCCATCCAGGAGCTCACCCACGATCACGACGCTGAGAAACTATTTGGTCTCTATTCCAGGGGCGAGCCCCTCTACGAGGAGGCCATTTTCAGGATGGTAACGGCCCTCGGGCAGAGGCTCTCCGAGGTTCCCGATTGGCGAGGAGAGGTAGAGAAGTTCTCGAAAACCTTGTGGACAGATTTCGAAGCTGGTGAGACTCTTAACTCCTTGCAACGTGTTTCTTCATGTCCGGACTCTGATCTCCATCGAGAAGTCGAATTTGCCGAGCCGATTTCGCATTTCTGTCCCTCTGTCTATCTCTGCCGCCGAATAATTCCGTTCTTGTTTCCTGCAGTCGAATCCTTTGTAGAACATTCCGGTTGGCGCTTCATAGTCGCTTTTGGTGGCGGCTCGACGCGTTGCGCGACGGTTATACTGCCGAAGGGCTTCAACAAAGTGACTTCGTTAATAAGCGATGGACAAAACATCAACGACTCGTCAATCGACGCCGCTTGCGCCCTTGTTCACGTTGTTGCCTCGCTAAAGGATGGTTTCGGGGATGAAACTCTCCGCAAGTGCGTCGAAATGCTGGCCAGTCAAGGCTGTGCTCTACTCTTGGATCAGTCACGAAGAGAACACCACGTGAAGCTCTTGGGCATGCTGACTATGGTCTTGCCCCTTGACACCGCGATCAGGGATGCCGAGAAAGAATCAATCAAGAGGTACGTCTTGCGGGTAGCGATTTCACGATGCAAGGAGAGTTGTGACCAGTTCTGGCTATTAAGGTGAAATTCAATCCTGAACCTCATCGAAGCTCCGACGCTCGTTCCACAGATTCATCGAGAATTCTATTCTCTCGAGCTCGAGCATACCAGCGCATGCTCTGAAGAACTTCATAGCGGCTTGCAGCTCTCATTTCGGTAAGAGCTTCGGTGCGGATCTCTGCAAGCTCGGGAAGGAGTGTCGATGCGTTTGGTTGCTCGCGGGGCTGGTTGACAAGAACGGTCAGAACGCTGAAGAGATCTGTCACGAATTGCTAAGCATCAGAGGTCAGTTGAAAATCTACCCTCCTATAAAGGCTCTCATTCGGATCATTCGGAACCTTGTATCCGAATGCTTAGTAACTCAATTCTCGCCCGTTCTTAGATTCATCTGCATTGGAGGCAGTTCAAGAAATCCTCCTCAATCATCTCCCTTTGGCTGACACAGTTTTCAACGAGCTGCTGACGACCTTCGAGGAAATACCCGATGATGTGACTCAACACTACCAAGATCTTCTGGCTATTGCTACGAGATCGGTCCCGTCGAGGTGAGGAGCAAAAGATGATCGGAGCGTCTGCCCATACCGATGTTTCCCGGAAGTGGACGCTCATCGGCATCGAATCTCTTCCAGCGTTATCAGCACGCAGATCGACAGCCTCTGTGGGCGATTGAGCATAGATTCCACATCCTTGCTCCAATTCCGCGTTGTTCTGTCGAATTGTCCTCCAGCCTATCTGACAGCATCGACGTGTCGAATTCTAGCTGACAAGCTGAGCAGTATAGCTAAGACTTCGGCATCATCATCCTTGATCTTGAGTCAGTGCCTGGCATTATTAGCGAACAAACATCAAGAGGGCTCGGATGCCAGTTGGCTCAGGGAACTCCTGGAGAGTGATTGTCTATCAGTCAGCTACATTGCGAAAGGACTCTTGATGCGGAATCACGAGCTCTGCGAGAACTTCATGGAGGTCGCCTTCAGAAACATCTGCGATCATAATGAGGGTCCGGTCAGCTTTGCAACCATCGTGAAACCCGAACCGAAAATCTTCCCTCGGGAAGGAGGGTGCACCGCGAGAATATTATATACCCAGAGATTCATGACCTGGTCGATGCCAAGACTTCTGGAAAGATTCGACACCGCGTCTGAAACGGGTGAGTTGATAAATCCGATATTGCGTATATTCGTCTGGACAAGATTCGTGGACGGGTGAGAAAACAATCGGGCGCTGCACGCCAAGATCTTACAAGAGTTGTTCCAAAGAGAAAATTGCGCTGTCCTCTGCGATATGTCTCGCGCTGCATGAAGTCTCCTTGGAAATCGCCGAGAAATTCACGTCTAAGGTAAGTTCAAACTCAATGCACAACGAAAAGATGTTTCTGGAAAAATCGATAAGAAGTGTGGATTCTGGACTCAGACGCAAAAACCTTCAACACTGTAGGATCGTTTCTTTGCAGCTCCGGCCTGTGATCCTTTGGTGCTTGAGCCAGCCCTCGCTGCCGGCGGAGCCGAGTAAAGGTCTCCTCAAGTGTATTCGACGAAACTTCCCACAGCTGCAGCTGTCGATCCATGCGGTCATCCAACCGCTGCTCCGATGGAGTCAGAGACCGTCACCGATGGAGCTCCGGATAGAAGCGATATCCGGTCTCCATGAGTTGAAGGATCATTTCGAAACGCATCAACTGCTGCCCCACAAGAAACAAGTCTTGAAATCCCTACCCATCGGTGACAGAAAACGCTTGATTCGGCGAGCGGCAGCGTGCACGAGCGTGACCTGGCACATGTTGGGAGAAGCTTGAGCTTCGAGCTCACCGGATCGAGACCCACAATCATTCCAATCGGGGAGCCCCCGGTCGAAATCCCAACGATGCTCTTCGAGACCCAGGGGTTTGTTGGCGTTTATTAAATAAAACGGAGGTGCTTTTCAGAAATTCCGTGTATTCGAACATTTGCCCCAAGCTCTTGAAATATTGGTGGCGCGCGAATCACGTCCCGAAACTCGAATGAAAATATAGTCAAGACCTCACTGTTAGGTTATTCACTGCGATTGTTGTCCGCTCATTTTCGCCTTCTTCTTCTCGGCTTCCTCTTCCTTTTCCTTTTCAATCGACTCCACGTACTTCTCGATTTCCTTTGCATCCAGCATCTTCAATTTCTGATTCCTCCGCATGACAGCGACTTCGAGACTCCGTCCTTGCACTACCTCGAGCAGGGCCCGTATCGCCAACCTGATCACTTTATCGTCATCAGCCATTTCCTCGATCTTGTAGTTCTTCTCGAGGTATTCTCGGACAGTTTTATCCGAGCGGCCAGTCGAGTTGGCTTTCCACTCATGGTAGACCCCTGAAGGATCCGTCTGGAAGAGTCGGGGAGTACCGTCGGGATCGAAGCCTGCCAGGAGAGCGGTGATGCCGAAAGGTCTTCGGCCATTCGACTGCGTGTAACGTTGTTTCAGCTGAGCGATGTACCGAGTTATGTATTCCAACGACACGGGATCTTCAACAGTCAGTCGATGTGATTGACATTCCACCCGAGCACAGTCCACGAGGACTCGAGCGTCGGCGGTGAGTCCTGCAATCAAAGGATATGACATGATTAGCCTTTCGCACATTACATGGATCCGAGCTTTCCACAACGGGGTCGGAATGAGGTGGTCAGGGCAAGTACGCCCGGAGGATCTGGTTTCCCAGTCTCGCTTACCGGCAAATGCCATCACTACATGGTCATCGATTGGGCAGATCTTCCGTACGCTACGTTCTTCTTGCAACTTGGCGATCGATTTCTTCTCAACGGCGAGCACAACAATGTTATTGCCTCGAACTCCGACCTGGAATAGCGAGAAGGCATGTCACTGCCGAAACTTCCTCTGAATCGCCGAGAATCCCGGCCCGCGAATGCGAACTTTGGCTCCGATAAGTGGCAGCATGACTGCATCCGGAGAAGCAAGTCCTCGATGAAGAGGCCAAGAGTTCTCTCAGGAATCTTCTCCATCATCATATATGATGCCGCCAGACGCTTGCGAGGGATCGATTCAGTTCTCGGTTCCGAGAGATTCGTTCCATCACAAAGTGCCGTGTGGAGTACCGGCAACCTACTCACCGCACTCGCTCCCTTTTTGACAGCCTCGAGGGCGTATTCTACTTGGAATAGATGTCCATCGGGCGAGAACACAGTTATAGCCCTATCGTACTTCGCGCTACCCATTGTCACGACTTTTCCTCACGATCGAAAAAACTCTCCTGCGTTTACGGTGACAATGCAGAAAGTTTTCGCCGTTCCGAAACGGCGCGACTCCCGCTAAATGTCGGATGAGCTCAAGCTAAACACAGGAAAGTAGAGCGCCAAATTTCAAAATTTGCGCCCCGATTCTCCATATTTTCCATCAAAAAATGCGAGAGGTGAGGCTCGCGAGTGGGACTAGGCATATTGTGTTGGTTTGCTTTTAGCGGGGAATAAACTCCTTAAGACTTATGACGTCAGATTCTCGAAATTCCCCTAGATAGTTCAATCCTCGAACAAGGCTCCCTCCCCTCCTCTCCTGAGAGGCATTTCACCGGCGCAGGTACAAGTACAGCAGATGGTGCTCATGCGTATACGGAACTATATTCTCTACATCCGATTGGCATCCGCAGGTCCAGTTCTCGTGATCGGACGCATTGATATTGGGTAGTGCAACGCTTTCCGGTGGACTCCTGGTGGCTTTGCATGAAAGACCAGAAAAATCATCCACCTTCGAAAATCGGAGTTCTCCGAGACTATCGAGTATGATTCATCCATCTTATCTTTGTGAAAATACAGGCTCGATTGATGGATGGATGGTGGATGGATGGTGGGGGCTGATGTTGATCATCCTGGTTGTGGAAAAGTTGCACGATTCAAATTACCCGCGCGGGGAAGATCATCGACATCATTGACCACCGTAATTTTCTCATCACCCCTTTCCATCCTCAACAAGTCCTAGCCCGTCTTCTCTCTCCGGGGGACCCCGTTGATGATATTTCCCCTTTGCTCGCGCGTGGAATCGGCGACTGCATTGATCCTTTTAGAAGCTCACTATCCGTTTCATGAATCGGGGGCATTCACGAATTCACTCTGTGCTGGGAGAATATATACCAACGTGCGTTTCTGTCGCTGTTTCCAACCATCTGTTCGGACTCACCAACTGCACTAGCTCCTGTGACATCGATATCCAGCTGATTTTGGTGGGATTAGCATCATTCAGGAAGATTCACAATGGTGGATGAGGCGACGAAGAGAACTCTCAGTGCCATTCCTCTCCTGAAGACTAAAGCCGGGCCACGTGACAAAGATCTCTGGGTTCCGAGGCTGAAGGAAGAATATCAGTCACTCATCAAGTACGTGGAGAACAACAAGGTAAATCACGCAGCCTAGTTCTCCGGCTCGACCGTGCCGTGAGACATGCTGTCGCCCACGACGTATGTTTCGTCCTTCCTCAGCCTCTCGAATTTCCGCAAGTTTTCGAGACAGCTGATCTGACCTCGCGCATCGAACGTCATCGTGCAAGACATTCCCTAAATTCTCCTGGGAATCGGAGCAATGACTTCGGCTCACCAAACACCGCCCCGAATCGCTCAATATCGTCTCTCATTTATTTTCACAGCAAAACGATAACGATTGGTTCCGGTTAGAATCGAACAAAGACGGAACCAGATGGTTCGGGAAGTGTTGGTACATACACGAACTGCTAAAATATGAATTCGACATCGAATTCGATATCCCCGTAACATATCCCACGACAGCACCAGAGATCGCAATCCCAGAGCTCGACGGGAAGACCGCCAAAATGTACAGGGGTGAGTCACCTATTTCATTCACGACTCACGAGGAGGGAGCAGTTCGGATCCGCGCACTTTTCCTCCGAACGTTCGAGTGCCATACTCCACAGAGCCTCTTGATGGCAAACTCTATCTTCCAGGAGGTAAAATCTGTCTTTCGGACCATTTCAAGCCTCTTTGGGCACGGAACGTTCCGAAGTTTGGGATCGCCCATGCCATGGCTCTAGGACTCGGTCCGTGGTTAGCAGTCGAAGTGCCGGACTTGTTGTCGAAAGGTCTCATCAAGCATAAGGAATGCGGTGATGCAGCTGCCGGGTCTAACTGAGGTGCTCTAGCGGTCCGTCAACGAATTGCCTGGAATATTGGGTATGGATGATGTGATCCGACTGAGTTCTTCGGCACCTGCCTGAACCGACCACGATAAAGGATATATTTTCCTAATGCAATCACCTACGTGCCTCTTACTTCTCAAAATTCTTACGTCAAGGAAACGGCGTGAGCCCCTCGAATCCGATCTCGAAACTTAGACGCCTTTCCCCTGCAACGGCTCCCGCGTCTCTCCGAGGACGCTTCGACGCTTGGCTAAATCAACGAATGGGCCGCGTCACCTCCTGGGAGTTTCTTTTCCAATGATCCGAAAAGTCCAGCGATTTTTTTCGCATAAAAATCATTTTTATTTTGTACAATGTATCATATGTGATTCTTAACACGATTTCTCAATCTTCTCCGGAGGACTGCCTTGGATAAATCACTTTAGGTACGAGACCTCGCCCTCTTTTTTCGAAAACTTTCTTTCTCACTGAAGGGTTCCGACTCACGACGTAGTTGCCTAGTACTCCACGATCTGCGAGCATGCGGTGCAGAGCCCTTCTACGGAGCACCTTAGTGAAATGAAGGATTCAGATCTAAAAAGTTCTGGGACTCTCTCAAGACAGACTCCGATTCATATAGCTGCCATTAATGTAAGGTATCGGTATTTGAGACAATTTAGTCTCCTTGAGAGCAAAACAATGTGACTAGGATCGACGCTGTCAGATGAGCTAGTATCCGGACGAGAAGTCGCTCTGTGTTTTCCCGGACCGCTTCGGGCTGCGGGGCTCAACAAAATTTTCAGAGATCTCGAAAGCGCTCCACAAGCGGGATTTTCCTTGACTACATCATTCCACAATCACGATCCAGCTGAGAAGCATGGGAATCGAGATATCGGACCTTTGGATCTGTCTCGCGCAGATAGTCCAGAGACACAGGGGTTGGCAGAATGACTTTGGTTCATCATGAGCAATCGTTGGCATTGTTGTGAGACGAGGTCGAAGCGACACCGATATCCTCCTCATCGCTCTCAGGGAGCAGGAGGCTCTCGCGGACTCCATCTCTCCTTCCGCTTTCGGCACTCTCATTCATGACTCCGTCTTCTGGAACAAATTGGAGATTGAAGCGAAATCCGTAATCGAAGATCTACGGGAATCCGCGAGTCTCATCACCACGGATTTCTCCCTTGATATTCCGAGATACCGCCTCTCGTTCAGAGCTCTCTGTTTTGGGAAATTCCTTCGGAGTCGCATCGAAAAGTGATATCGTTGAGGAAGAGTAACGTCATACCTCAAAGAAGCTTGTCTATGTCGACGGATACTTGCGACTGACGATCTATCATCCGATACGGCAGCATTAAAAATTGTTTCTTTTTGAGGTCGAATGAATGAATTCTGATCTCGCATAAGATATTTTTCCTTGCTTTCAAATCTTCTCATTTCCAATTATTCGATGTCATTCGAGAAAACGGTCTCTTGTAGAAGCCTCGAGCGTCTCTATCGACCTTGAGCTTGATTTCCGAATGTCAGGAGGAGGAGCTTCATATTTTCTGAAGAAAACTCGATACTCACCGCTCCGAGCCTGATGGATGCTTTTGCAAATGACATGAATCGTGATACCGCAGAGGCAGATCACGAGCCCGACCATGTTTAGTGGACTCAGTATGTCTCCACTGTAGACTACGGCCAAGTACAAGGTGAATATTTCCTGCAAAGAACGGTCTCATTCATCTGAACGGTGGAGCTGTCCAATCCTCATAGTGTAATACACTGAATATCATTGCATTGGGACGGGGTTTCCGGGGAATTTCAAGCCTTTCGTGACAATCACAAGAAATGCGGCGAGCACGGAACATACCTTCAGAATGCCAGCGATGCTCAAGGTGAGCGACGAAGTGTAGCTCAACAAAAGATATTCGGAAACTTCCATGAAAAACGCGATCACGCTCCCACCGAGGATCCGAAGCAGATTATTCAAAAGCACTTCTTCCTGTTCTGGGCTGAATCGGAATATCTTCTCTGACGTCGCCAAACGAGATCCTGAATCGAGAGAGGGCTGGGATTATTGTGATTCCACCTCGGCTCGTGGAGTCCGAGTACGCTAGATGCCGCAAATCGTTTGCTCGTTCACTTTCCGCATCTGATCTCGCGTTTTCTGAGATATCCTCACCTTCGAAGGCTATGGCCAGCGGCAAGAGTCCCACTATCATCCATGGCTGAATATGATACATCATATCTACTGGATTGCCCAAACCTGGAGTTCGTAAGAAAATTCGTCGTTACCCCAGATGAGGATTCGTCGAGAGATGCCCCGGTGGAGCCACCGGATTTCTTCAGATCGATGATCGACAATGGACATTTGGACAAATCCACCGAAGTCATGCCGATGAGTGAGGACTTGCTTACCCAGTTCTTTCCGCTGCATCACTAATTGTGCGAGAGTCCACCTCAAACCCGCCAAGGCACTGGCGCTCAAAACAAGCAGAAAACCTTCAAGGTTGAACTGCGTCGATTGATATGTGAATAAGAACAGTCCGATAGCTATGAGCGATACTACAGCAATGAGTGAGGATCTCCGCTTTTCCAGGCCGAAAGATAAGGAAAACGCTAAGATGAAGATGATACAGGTCGATTTGGTCATGGTGTACCTGTAATGAATTCGATTGACCTTAATATTGGGAGCTTCGGCCTTCTGCGTTCCGGTCTTTCGAGCAGTGTCTGATAGGATGATTGAAATTATCGCGTATGAGCGAGGGGATCCGGTTTTCAGATATCAGTTCGAAATGCGATCCTCTCCGGTCGCTTCAAGACCGGGACTCCCAGACCCGCCGCGGGAAACCTGGAGGGATACCCTCCGACTGCCGACCCCCCTATAGGAGCGATCCTCGGAGTCAAATCTACGGGGTCAAATTAACGGTGTGGAGGAAAATTCTTGCAAGACTGTCTCTCCAGTAGATTGCGGAGCGGAGCGGAGCGTGCCCCTTCATGCGTACCGGGGAACGTTTGCTGCAGCGTGGGACACGTGATGCAGATATTATTCCCTCTTGGAATGGAACACCGGATCGCACGTATCCTGGACAGCGACTATGCCACATACGAGTTTCATGATGACACTAGGTCCCCGCCGACACAGAGTAAAAAGATTGCCTCTACGCAATGCCACCAGATATCCCCAATCGAATGACATCCAACATCTGACCCTCTGACTTTCTGTGTCTGAGGAGACTGACTGAGCGAAATTCGATTCCCGAAGTCGAGCCATCATCGAGCCTGGAGAGACTGGTGAGGCGGAAGAAAAAAGGCGAACAGTCAATCCTGTTCACCAGCTCGGTCTGTAGTTTCACCGTCATCGGTTGTCATCTGGGAGAAGGTACCTACTGTGATCATGAAAGCGACCACGGAGCGGCAATTAGACATGGCCGCGCAAGGTAGATCTGACCGCCTAGAATTTGATTTTACGCCCAGCAGAGCTGTCCATCGCGATTCCGATCTCCGAGTCTCATGGAGTGACGGATGAAAAACTTACAAAGAGATTGTGATGAATTCAAAACTCCAGTTGCTGAACCCGATGTCCAGGGCCGAAGCGAATCCTGTCACGGCCAGATGTCGCACGTAGACGCTCCAGGGTAGCAGGACACGCTGCCGTCGAGTGAATAGGGTGTAGGTCTGGAAAAGAAAAACGATCAATTGGCCGAACGATACTGCTGATCATCATTATCATTATCATCGGATCTCGGATAGAGAAGCATACGGACGGGCCGGGAACTCACCACTCGACACAGCCATGACAGGATGAATTTGACTACGAGATGACATGTCACAACAATCAGAGGGAAATGGAAATCCTGGAATGAGTTTCCTGAATCTGTGAGATCCGCTTGGAGCTTCAAGACGAATGACGACCCAAGATATGTTCCGAAAAGGGAATTTTATGGCTCTCTATCTTTCGTCTTTTCGTGTCGATATCTCAATCAGGGTTTCGGGATTTTTGATCGAGTCATGCATTCTTCCGTTTCTTGACTACATTGCGTAATACGCTACGCATTATTTTTTATGGGATATCTTTTCTCTCGGTGGGACCAGCCGATACACTTTAGTTTGCCTCAAAAGCGTCCTCTGAAAGGGACCAGGGTCTCCTATGCGCGGACTCGGATAGGTTCACCTACACGCGCAGGCTTTCATCGCTCAGACAAAGAGCATCGTATTCCTACAACGTCCGGCTGTGTCGGAAACGATGTCGCAGATGACCAGAAACGCGTCTTTTCGCGATTGGGTCATCAGCGTGCTTCGTAACACAGAGGAAACCGTCTGCGCCAGAAAACTTCAAATAGCTCGAAACTGTGGAAGCGAAACGCCAGCGCCGCAAACGAGCGAGGACGTCCGAAGCTGACTGAGACTTTCCACTGAAACGTACACCCTTCATGCGGAAATTCTCCGGCCGGAATAGGGGACCTCGACAACAGTCTCCATCTGTGACAGCTCGGAGCCCGGAAGTCTGTCAGCATATTAGAACTCTCTGCAAGTGTTGTGGCATCGATTGCCCATGTCATGAGATAAGAGTCTCATGCGGGTGTTGATTCTCGAAATTTTTCGACGACAATGCCCTGCCCCATTCTAGTGAGCTCACGCAGTCCTCCTCATTGTGAAAGCAGAGGGAGCCAAAAGAGGAATTCCCTACCAGAGGCCAACCGCGCTGGCTACAGCGAATGAACCTTGAAGGAAAGATCGATATGCGCTATTCCGCTCACGCTAGCTTCCGACTTTTCCTGCTGAGAGCAGCACGGAGCACCCAGCCATGTGATAGAAAGGATTCTCGAATCGAGCTCGACTCAAATCCGCTCCGAACATTGAGGAATCCCGCAGTCGCTTCGACTGACCGAGATTGGGTCTGAGCGGATACGGACTGATTTATCAAGCTGTGGAAGTGCCTCATGAAGAGGCCGTTCGACGGAAGCTCATACGTGTAGTTCTCTTTCTCCGACCGCGGTGTAGATACCGCTTGTCGCCAAGCTCCCAGCGGATCACTAGAAACAGGGTCGACTCTTCAGACGTTATCGGTTCTCATGAAAAAAGATTTGGTCGCATTCAGGATTTGACGCATCTGCATCCAGTCTCTGCTTTGAGAAACATATGGACAGATCCGACGGGGACCCGTAGACCATGGGATGGAAGAGTTGCGATGATTTCCGAGCTCGCAAGCGTCGGCGTCAGATGTCGAGTTCAACTTCCGAAATCGCGTGCAACAGTCAGTGCCATCATCCACACGACGTCTATGAGATTCGTCGATTGAGAGCCTCGATAGCTTTCCGAAATCAATTCGAGACATAAGACTCAGAGGAATTATCGATCCCGCTCGAATGGCCACCTCTTCGACGTTTTACGGAAATCGACGCGATCGGCCTCAGAATCTCAACTCCGCCGATCGATCACCATCGTGCGCTCTTAAACGGAGCATTGAAAGGACCAGCTCTCCGGAGCCAAAATCTCCCGGTGTATTACGGGGAAATCGACACAGACGGAGTCGATCACTCAAAATTGTCGAGATTCTTTTCCGTATGGATTCTGTCGAGTATCACTGTCGAATCTCAGACTCCCGCCCGTCTGTGGCGGTTCCTGAATCATTGTGTGTGTTGGACGGCGCTATCGCGAGACTTTATGCTCCGCTCCATAAAATCTATCCTGTGGTCAGCGGTCTACGTATTCCTTGCAGATAACTTACCTTTATGAACCATTTCTGGTAGAATGTTATCCCAATGGAGAAACTATAGTAGAGGAGAACTAGGAGCGTTGTCCGTAAGGAAACCCACAAGTATTTGAATCTCATCAGGGACTTCATCTGCGGGGGCTGCCGGAGACGCAGAGTCAGAGCACCGGACTTTACGCGCATTTCCCCAAGGCGGCCCGGAGCCTCGCTGCAGCTCTTATTCGCTCATTCCTTGAGTTATTCCGCGGGTGTCACTTCTGTAAAAAGCAGCGAACGGCCTTCGTCAGCGAAAACCGACTGAGCATTTCAGCAGCCGTACAGCCAGCCACGCGCCAATCATCTACTGCGTCCGGTACGCTGGTGCGCCAGCTGCGACTGGAGCGACGAGCTTGTGTACAGAAGAAAAATTCGTCGAAGTTCAAACTGGCCTCCTTCTGATGCCGGAGAGCTCGTTGCTTCTCCAGGACGGATCAACGTCAATGTTCACAGTGTGTTGAGCGCTCCGTGCGGCATGGCAATATGCTGCTCACTGCAACAACAGCTCTGGATAGGGCAGTCTCCGGATGTGCAGAAAAACTCGCCAGACTTGGAACGCGGTTTCGGCGCGGGGTTCTCTCGAACTCATTCGGACAGCGGTGGAACTCTTGGAGCATGAGTGCGCTCATGGAGCAGAACCGATCATTGGACTAAACGCTTTGGCGCACACTTCAGGCACTATTCTGCTCATTCGCGTTCGGTGTAGTTTTTCTCTCTTTTGGAGCAGTAGCTGGAGCAACAGCGACCGCTATCACGGCTGCAGAACATCCCTCAGTCCCTCACCTTTACGAAGGAAAGGGCTCAGCGATGTGGAGCGCCAAACTTTCGAAACAGCTGACATCAACAGCGGTGTGGCTGCTCAACTGCTCGATAGGGCGAAGGCGACGACGCGACGTCGGCGAGCGGTGTATTGGGCGCTATCGATCTCGACGGAACCGAGAACGACAAAGAGTGCTTCCAGTATATCTCAGAATTCTAAAGTTTCTTGCTGGAAGATTCGCAGCAATCCGCTTCTCGATATAGAATCAGGAGTCGCTTAAGCCGTTATCGAGGATAGATAGCCCGTTATCACGTCAGCTAGCAAGAGTCTCGGGAGACGCGGGCGGGAGCGTCAGAGCTGTTGGCGTGTCACACTGAACCCTTCCTTTCCCCGCGCGGATCTCTGACAGATTGGAACATTATCAGAATCCCTGGATGTTTACGGATTTGATGCTGAAATCAGAAACCGGGAATCCGAATCCCGACAGACCGTTCATGCAAATGCGACCGACGGAGGACGTTACGAAATTCGATTCTTGCTCGACCTCGTACATATTGTTTGGTGTCTGTAATTGACAGCTGAATTCGGAATAGTCCCTCACGATACTTCGTCTTCATCCAAGGCACCGAGAATTACAATTCGAATTCCAACCCGGCAGAATCTTATTTCCCGTCCCGTCCGTGGACATTTTTTTTTAAATGGCAAACGCTCGACGGAACGACTCAAGATCTCGGCAAAAGAGAGCGGGTGGCGGGCCCCGATTGTCACCGACGTCGGTCACCGATCTTCCATTCTGCTGGAATCGTAGCGGGAGACCACATCCGAGTCTCCAGAAGCAAATTGGAAGGAGCAATAATTTTACAGAGCAGAGCCCATCCGAGCTCGGGACGGTCCTGTGAAAGATCAGAACACAATACAATACACGAGAATCGATCGCCTTCATTGCGATCGGGAATTTTCTAAGACCCCTCGTCCGAGGCTCGCACTCTCCCCCAAGCTCCTCGGAGGCTGATACAGGGAAGGATTCGATTCTCCTTATGCGCAAGGAGGACCGAGTGTTCGGGACGACAACGCTCTGACAGTGAGCGGTTTCCCTGCTGACTCTGTGCGAACAACCGCGGCGCCGAGGGAACCGATATGAAAATACCAGACACGCCCCGAAACTAGTGCCCAGCTCGGTTTCATAGAATTTCTGTGAGGACTTGTGAGCAACTAATGCTTATCGCGGCATCAGAATCTATGTGAGAGCGATCGAACTCAGGAGACTCAATCAACCAAAGCATATCCAGTCCTGGAACGCAGTCGCCAAAATATTCCCCCGTCGGCGATCACCTACATCCGGTTTCGAATTCGGCTTGGCTCTCTCTCTTCTCGTGAAGGCAATACCACGTTGCTGAGGCACGCTAAATCTGTGACCGGTGTGAGGTGTTTCGAATTCTCCTTTTGAGAAGTGGTTCTCTGAAAGGTAAATCTACTGTCCGCGCTGTCTGAATGGGGAGACCCCCTGGAGCTCGAGCTATCTCGGAAATGAATCCCCGACGCCCCGAGGCACTCGCTCGGAAGCGACGTTCGTAAGCCGGCATATGTCCCGTGCTCGAGCTGAATGTTTGGAACTCGAGTTCTCGATAACTTCCGGTTTTTCGCCTCGGGAACTCAGGACTCCATTGAGTTCCGGACCTGCACGGGAGCTCCGTTCGAGAAATGCTTATTTTTCCCCTCGACAGTTTTTTCGAAGTAGATCCGTCAGCCGGGCTCCCCGTCTTAGAAAGCTCGTAGAACATTCCGAGGGAACACTATGTAGTGTTTTCCGATCCGTACAGCTATCGCTCGTGGAATGTCCTTCTGGCCGCCGAGTTACCGAACGGAGAGGAAACTCCCGGCGAGAACGACGGTCCGTCAGAGTTTCCTTGGTCTCCTTGTCAGGCGTTTTGGGGCCGAGGAGACGAGAAGGGAGTCGCACTCGTCGTCGGTGGGAGTTCCACACGTTTGTGACGATCTGGAAACCCCTCCGCCCTTCCGGCGTTCAGTTCGGAGGACGATACGATGATCGTCCTGCACAGCCTCGATATCGGCCTGCAAAGCTTATTCCGCTCTCTAGTGACGCCGTAGTTGCTGCAAGATGAAGTCGGCTCCTGACTTCCGGGACTTTTTTCCAGGAATATAACTCTGAAAGTGAAGCAATGTCGCGATTCTTCGCTCGAAGCGATTCCGAGTCCGAGAGTGAATCATCCGAGGATGAGCAGACCGTACCGAAGCCGCAGACGCAAAACATCGCTGCGGCACTCGCGGTCTCCGACGATGAGGAAGTTGTCAAGCGTGTGGTCCGGTCCACGCGGGAGAAAAGGTGAGTCTCCCATCCCCGCACCGGCCCGCGGTGATTTAGCGTTAGCGTGTTCTTATGCCAATCCTCCGGAGATTCCGAAGATTCCGAGGGTAAAACACAAACTGATGTCACGTTTCCCCTACAGATACGAGGAGTTGACGGAACTGATTAAGCAGATTCGCAATCACAAGAAAATCAAAGACATGGCGAAGATCCTCTCTACTTTCGAAAGTCTCACGCAGGCTTTCACCAAGGCCAAGCCAGTTATCGATAAAGAAGACGGAGGTCGAGTCCCCAATTTCTACATCAAGGTAATTCGGATCTCGGGGTCGACCACATTGATCCGCAGCTCCTCTCCAGACTGCAGGACCGGAAGATTTCGTTGAGCCTGATGGAATCAATCCGGTGGAACGCTCCTCAATCGAGCCCCGACTTTCAGATTCTTGTGGAGATGGAGGACTTCATCACCGAGTGTTGGGAGGATCGTGAGGGCCGCAAGAACATGAGCAAGAACAACTCGAAGGGTTTGGCGACATTGCGTCAGCGCATAAAGAAATACAACAAAGATTTCGAGAAGGAGATCGCCACGTGGAAGGAAAATCCTGTCGAAGACGACGTCGAAGAGAAGTGAGTTCAGTCCTGGTGTTTTCCGATCCAAACCCGAGCCCTCGGCGCTGAAGGCTCGCTGAGAGATTCAGTTGACAGATCTGAAAGTTAAAAAATCGAATTTTCTTCAGGGTCGAAGTTGCCGCTGAATCAGATTCCGACGCCTCCGTGAGTCGCTCGGTGTCCGAGGAGAAACCTCAGCTGCGGAAGAAGGAGATGCGAGCCAAGGACGACGATGACGGCGACGGCGGAGGTGAAGACAGTGACGACGACAGCGAAGACAGTATGTGGGATAATTCGGACGACTCGGACTCGTCGTCTGAGAGCGACGACGACAAGTACGCCGATAACCTGGCCGCGAAGTTCTTGAAGAAAACCGGAGATGGCGACAAAGACCGCGACAAGAAGCGTGAGCGTAAACGCAAGGACGACAAGGGCAAGCGGGACGAAGGCGACGACGAGGAAGGAGGCAAGTGGGAGGCCGTCAAATACGGAGTTCCCATGCAAATCGAAAAGCCGAAAATGTTCTCGAAAGATGCCGAGATCAACCATCAGACCGTTCTGAAGAAACTCAACGAGATCGTCGCCGCCCGCGGGAAGAAAGGAACCGACCGCAATGAGCAGATCTCGATGCTCTCCGAACTGCTGTCGATCGCGGCTCAGCACAACTTGGGAGCGGCGTTCCAACTGAAGATCATGTTCGCGATCATCTCGGCTCTGTTCGACTACAATCTGAAGAATTCGCCGTGCATGAAGCAGGAGACCTGGCAGAAAACTCTCAGCTACATCAATTCCTGTCTCGATGATCTCTTCGAGTTCAAGGAAGTGCTCACGATCGGCGAGAATATCCTTGAGGAGAACGAGGTTCTGAACGAGCCCCCGTTCAAGGTCAAAGGATGTATTCTCACAGTCGTCGAGAAGATGGATGAGGAGTTCACCAAAATCTTGCAGAACGCCGACGCGCATTCGCCTGAATACATCGAGCGTCTCAAGGACGAGACCGCGGTGGTGAAAATCATCGATCGGCTCCAGGAATACCTCGAGTTGGGCTGCCCGCCCTCGGAACTGTGTCGGGTGTACCTTCGCAAGATCGACCACTTGTACTACAAGTTCGACCCGAAAGCTCTCAGCAACGAGCCGGGAAGCTCCGCGGAGCTCATTGGCAAGCTGTGCAAGTACATCTACGCCAACGATTCCACCGACAGGATCAGGACGCAGGCGATCCTCTGCCACATCTACCATTCGGCGCTGCACGATAAATGGTACGAGGCTCGGGATCTCATGCTGATGTCGCATCTGCAGGACTCGATCCAGTGCGCGGATGTGGCCACTCAGATCCTGTACAACAGGGCCCTGGTACAGCTCGGCCTTTGCGCCTTCAGGCATGGCAACATTCGTGACGCCCACAACGCCCTGCTCGATATCCAGTCCGGAGGTGAGTACCAAGGATCTACGCCGCTCTGCCAGTGCGGTCTCTGATCCTCGACCATTTCTCAGTCCACGTTGACGACTAGGAATCAGGGGGGGAAAGGGGGAAGAGGGAAGTCCGAGTGGGGAACGCCATGAGGGAAAGAAGGAATTTTCGGGAGCAATGCCTCGTTTTTTCCCTTTGGGAGGAGGAAGGGGGAAAGTGGCACCGGGAGAGAGGGGGAACTCCCCTTTTCCCCAAGAGGGATCAATTCCTGGGATGGGAACCTCGCATTAGAGGTTCCCTCTTAGGGTTTTCTCGTCTAGTCCTCTCACTGATCTTTCTTTCCTCAATGCAGGTCGTGCCAAGGAGATGTTGGCCCAAGGTTTGTTGCCGCAACGTCAACAGGAACGCACCTCGGAACAGGAGAAAATAGAAAAACGGCGACAGATGCCATACCACAAACACATCAATCTGGAGTTGTTTGAATGTGTCTATCTCGTTTCGGCCATGCTGCTCGAAATTCCGGCCATCGTAGCCCACGAGCTCGACGGTCGCAAACGCATGATTTCCAAGAGCTTCCACTACCAGTTGAGGAACACCGAACGCCAACCTCTGGTCGGGCCGCCGGAGAGCATGCGTGAACACGTCGTGGCCGCCAGCAAAGCTATGCGCGTCGGAAACTGGAAGGCGTGCCGCGATTTTGTCATCAACGACAAAATGAACGTCAAAGTCTGGAATCTATTCCATCAGGCAGATAAAGTTCGCTCTATGATCGAGCAGAAAGTCAAGGAAGAGTCTCTCAGAACCTATTTGTTCATGTACTCGTGCGTCTACGACTCGCTGTCGCTTCGCACGCTGGGCGAACAGTTCCAATTGGACTTCAAAAACGTACACTCGATTGTGTCGAAGATGATCATCAAGGCCGAACTCGCAGCCAGCATCGATGAGCCCAATCAGATGATTGTGATGCATCGGTCTGAGCCATCGCGTATTCAGGCACTTGCACTGCAGCTCACCGACAAGGTGACGCAGCTTTGCGATCACAACGACAAACTCTGGGACGTGAAACAAGGAGCCTATTTCGGTCGGAACCAACAGCCCAACTACCGCGGAGAGGGTGGACGCGACGGATACAAGGACCGGAGAGAATTCCGAGACAACGATCGAAACTGGGGTGGCCGCCAGAACAGGAGAGATCGAGGCGGCGACAGGAGGCATCGCGACAATGACCGCGGACAAGAAGGCTATAATCGGCAGGAACAGGCTGGATACTAGAAAAAACAAACTATTCTATGGCGATATGAATAAATGTACATTCATGTTCCTTCATGAACTCAGTGGCTGTTCCTTGCCGGGCGCTCTGCGATTTTCCCGAAATCTCGCAGAGCTCCGATTCGAACCAGGGGATGGTGTTAGTCTCGAAAGGATGACTCGTTTATTGCTGAATTCATTTCTGATAATCGTCCAGAGCTTCCCAAAAGCATGGAACGAGTAGAGGGAGAAAACGGCTTTTCTCAAACGACTTGTGACCGCGTCAACTGACCCGGGGGATCGTATCTTTCAATCTTGGTATCCGCACACGAGATTCAGAGGCAAGGCTCTGTCAATCTGCTTCGGATAGGCGAGTTTTAGGTTCTTCATGATTTCTACGAATTCTTCCTTGGACTTGGTGAGCCGCGGGTTACAGGACTTTTCTTCTTCTACCGAGGAGCAAGTCAAACCTGACCAAAAGCATGGTTCAATTAATCGTAGCACTGATAACATGCCGAATGAAGTTATAAACAGTAATCATAATCGATCACTTGATCATCTCCTACCTTTGTAGTCATGAGCTGGATATATCAGGTAAGAGTCCGGCAGTGTGAAGATTTTCGAGTGGACACTTTCGTAAAGTCGCTCAGGACACCCTTGCTGGAAATCGGTTCGTCCGCATCCGCGAATCAATACAGCGTCGCCGGTGAAAACACACCTGGAGGATCGAGTTTCGGCCTGAGGAACACGATCGTAGTCCATAACTTACTGACGATGAGTAATCTAGACATTGATCGTGCGCGCAAAAGACGATCACGACCGGTTCGAACAACTAAGGAAAAAAACTGCTCCGGGCTGGACCAAACAGCCGAGGTTTGATGTCCCGGGAACGGATATTCATTTTGCTTTTTAGGACGGATGCATGGAGCGATTGTATAAATACCCGCGATTTCGGATTCTTACCCTAGTTGATCCTGAACGTATGATACGCAGCCGTCCGTGTGACCAGGCGTGGCGAGCACCCGCAAAGCAAGGTGGGGACCAATTTGGATCTGGAAATTGAATCGAGCTCAAATATTGGGAAATCCAAACTCTGGGGAGGCTTCGACGACGTTTGGAAGCATCGTGTCAATTTCTGGATGTGGATGAATACCCATCGAGTAATATCTCCCCAATAAACTCTCCCGAGCTCACAGTGTCGCCGTCATTTATGTGAATATCCGCTTTGGCTCCGGACGACTCGGATATTATGCTTTGGCAGCCGCGAACGGATTTCTTCAACAGATAGGAGCCCGTCACATGGTCTGCATGAAGGTGAGTATTCATGACATACTTGAGGTTGAGCCTCAGATCTTTCAGCACCTGAAGATCGCGATCGACCTGAGGAAACAAACGCCTTCCTGAGGGCGGCCTCGCAAGGAATTCAGAAGAACTTCACGAAACTTAATCTGTATATACGACATTGAATCACACGAAAGACCTTCTCGAGCACGGGATCGATGAGAGCGGCGTCCTTAGACCGCAGATCGGCTATCAAGTAGGTGTAAGTTGAGCTGATATCGTCGAACAGCTGTCTGGAAAGAATTCAATCGAGCACCAATCTCTTTTGAGCTCCAGAATGCCGATCTTGTTTACGATCATTGTTCATATGCATTCAATGCATTCAAGACCGGCCGAAATCCTTAATTACGGGTATGGTTTCAGAGTGATCATGATTACCTGAACAATAGGCTCTCTCGATGAAGGTAGGATAGGCTCCGACGTAGGAGAATCGCGCACCCCGTTACCATGACCATCTTCCTACAGATCCCTCAATCAATTGATGCAGTCTGACGCGATCGGCTGCTGGGAAGCCGGATGCGCTTCTATGAGCTCAAAGTGCGCGGAGTCCGTGTTTTCTCTATCCGAGACGGGTTGAAAAAAGGGTCATCGGGTCGATGGGTAAAATGAAGTTCCTGACGAGTTTTCCTTCTCATTCAGTATCGTCAAGGAGTCACTAATCCGAAGGCGCCATCGATCAGCTGTTGTCAGGGTCCCTCGCAGAGATAATAATTGATCATTATGATATCTCACGTATTCGTGTGCGGCAGAGATTCCTGTGCACTCTTCTGCTGTGGGATGGATATCTCGATCGCTGACCGATGATAAGAAGAGAATCGTACCAAGTCTTCCGCCCGCAGTTTTGCATGGACAACAGGCTGCGATCTTCTATAGAGACTGACTTCCGAACGTTACGTCGACGGTTCCGCGGAATAATAGCATTGTCAAGAGCGGTTTGCCGCCACTGACCGACTTCGCGGCGTCAGCTGAACTCGACAGCAATAGATCGAGGCGCCATAAAGGTCTCCTACGGATTTATTTGAGATGTGTCGAGTCGCTAGTTCCCACGTTAATCGAGAACATTGCGCTGATAATTGCGGGAACATCTCGGGATGGAGTTCGGAAGTAAGGGCATTGAAAAAATTGAGGGTTTCGTCGTGCTCAGCTCCCTACTGACACTATAGCTCGTTATTGGCGAATGAAAACAACATTCACTCATAGCTAGTTGACCGTGATTTCACGTCGTCGAATTCATCTAGTTGGCCCCGGGGCTGCTCGGGTTACCTCTCATGATCCACGGTCCACGTGAGACATGGCAGAGAGGTAGAGGTTCCTCGATCCGGCGGGTTCGACAGTTCGCGCACTCCATAAAGAATGGCCACTCTGATGCCAGGAAAAAAAAAGATGAATTCAAATTTCACTCGCGCATACTATATTATTTGATCGAGGTCTGATAAATAGATTGTCAACGAATCTGAGAAGTTCTCAAGAGAGCGTGAATTCGAGCCACCGCCAGTGGGAAGCGCGTCGTGTGTGTTCTTATAATTTACAATGTCATGTTGCCGGGAGAGGTTCCGTTGCGCGAGGGAACCATCGATGAAAATCGAGTTTGAAGTAATTTTCTCTGTTCGCAAAATGAATTCTTTGGTCTGTGAGAACATTGTCCCCCTCGTGACCAGCGAAGCGTTTGCCTGCGACCTCGAGACAGTCCCCGAATCGGGAGGATGCCACCCACTCAGGGCTTATCAACCCCCAGAACATCCGAGAAAATGAGGTCCATCGTGGGGCGTGCTTATGTTATTTGCTCATTGAAGGGGCTCAGCGCATTGATCGCTTGATTCCGCCCTCGGCGGGATAAGCCGGCTCTGGAAGAGAAAAGACGGCTCGTCTTTTGAAAATCACGTTTATTCTTGTACAACTTCCTGCGGGATGACTAAGAGCAGAAAATTGTCAAATCATTTACAAAGACCGGGCTGCCTAGCATTCGAAATTCGAATCATTGACCCCACGAAACCGTGGGCTCACGAGGGCCAATCTCCCAGGCCTTATCTATGCACAATATACAATCGCTTGACTGACTTGAGTGAGTGACAGTCGAGTCGGAAACATTTTACCATCCACCGTAGTATCCGTCGCTGTAAGGGGACCAGCCGCCATCGTATCCACTGTACCCATATGAATACGAGGGGTAGTAGTGTCCTTTGCCGTAACCACTGAAGTAGTGTCCTTTGCCGTAACCACCGTAGTAACTTCCGTGGCCGTGTCCTCCATAATAGCCACCGTAGCCGTATCCCTTGTGATGCTTCGCTGCTAGAAGTCCACCGACGAGACCAACTCCGAGAGCTGCGCCGATGCCGAGGGCGAGCTTCTTCTTGAGGAAGAGAGCTTCTGAACTCAGCAAGAGAGCAGCGAGTACCGCGAATACAAGTGAAGTTCTCATTGTAGCCTCTGTCGGAAGACTGTGATGCTAGATGGTGTCCGTCGTGCTGATTTATAGGGCGTACGTTTGGCAAGGGCGCGTCCTTGGCGACCTCCCTCCCCTAGACGATCTTGGAAACGTCTTGACGAAATAATTCATCGAATTAAACACCTAATTGCGATTAATATACCGTTGCAACGCTGCAGAAAATCAAGTACCTTATGCGTATAGAGATTCACGCGAGGAATTTGAATTTGAAACATCTGGATTTCAGTATTCGTGGAATCTTGGACTTTCGCTCTTCAGGTTTTGCGTGACTCCCAATAGATCAGAATCCAGATGTCGCGTCGGCAAGGATCGAGTTTGAAGTCATTCAAGTTGAGACTCTGGATCTCAGCCGCTGCGAGCGACGACTCAGTATTCGGATGGCTCATGAGAATCAGTGTCGCTTATACGGACCAAGGATTTCGACGAAGCCCAGAAAAGGGATTCGCGCTTTTTCTTCGGTACTGTGACAAGGTGCTTCGTATCCGGATATCAGGATCATTCGAATGGCCATCTACGAGGTGTGACGGGCTATTTGGAACGTGAACCCATGTTTCAACGGCCAGTGGTGTCCGTCTGACAACCCGACGCGACGACAATTTTCTGGCCCAGAATTCGGAGTTCCGACCCTGATCAAGGATTGCCATTTTTTTCTAGCTGCGATCCACTAAACGGTGGACTAAGTCCTCACCGGAAACGTAAGCTTGCTCGGTGACTTCTGTCGATGTTCGGTTCAGCTTTCTCTTCCAAAGCGGGGTATCGAAATATCGATTCCCTCCTCGGGGTGGTGTATTCTGCGGTCGCAAACTCTTATGGAGAGCGAAACCGAGGCTTCGATCTATCGGAAATCCTTGCCTCGTCTTGATCATCCCCGAAGATGGGCTTCAGATCTTCTGTGAGCATCCCGCCTCTTACCGCAACAATGCAATGACGTTCGATTGCGTCGCTCATGCTAAAAATCTTATGCTAATGAAATGACGCAGTGAGGCCGCTACTTCCCGTCGAACACCCACTGAGCGGGATCAGTTCCGCCCAGGTCTGGAAGTCTGGACGTCCGAATTCCCGGCAGCAAGAGCCCAGAGGCTCATCGAAGAGGGGACTTCTCGACGATCTCATGAAGCGCAGTCGGAAGGCCTCTGATCGAAACGAGGATGCAAAAATGATTTGCGCCGGAGACCATCGAGATCCAATACTCCGGTCATCTGTGGTGGTCATTCGCTTATTCGTTTTTCCACTCGTCGCTTCTTCGCTGATTCCTATTCGACGCGTATCTTCTTGAAGGCTTACACATCCCCAGGGGCTCCCGGAAGGAGGACCTGGAACCCGTTCTCGGGAGTCTCGAAGGCCGAAGAAAACAGTATGAAACATAATGTTGTTATCCTTCGCAAAAATATATTCGATTTAGCTCGCAAGAATATCGACCAGGCCTGACGCTTCAGAATTTCTCTTTATTTTGAGAAGGATTATTCCATGAAAAACAAGAGAATATTCCTTGTCTGGCCAAGCCACCAATATTACTTCCGGAAGGACATTGCAAAGGGTCCCGAGCACAATCGAGAACTTCGGAGGGAGGGTGACTCTGACTCTTCAGCCTCGGACGAAGACTTTGATCTCACACGGCAGTTTTCCGTCGGTCACAAACGGGCATCCGTGAAAGAACTCGGAGGGGCAGATCCATTCGACTGGGTTCAAGACTATACAGTTTTTCTGGTAGCCGCGACCGGAACCGCACCCGAGCCGCCACCCAGGCGGCGCGGCTCTTACCCGCGCCGACACCTCGCGAATTGAAATCATTGCGGTCCGCAGTCGAAGTTCTCATTATGACGAACACTCGACCCTCTTGTTGACCCCGGCAGCGAATCAGGTCAGTGATATCCTCAGACGTGTATCGGTGCGTCACTCCTAGCAATTGGATGAGTATACATATGTATGTCAAGTGCGGTCCTCCTCCAAGGCAAGTCTGACATTCAATTGTGGTAGTTCTCGCTCTTCCGTTGACACAGGCGATTCGAGAGCGAAGCAATCGCACCTCCGGCTAACGCTGATTGTGAGCCGCGGGAACTCAAGCTCGAGCTCGAATGTCGGGCAAGACATAATTCTGGGCTGGCGGGAGCCACCCGAATGATGAGCCCATTCTTCTGCAGAGCGCATTCCAACGCCTCTCGAGCGAGGGTAAGAATCGCTCGGAGAAGGGAACCTGCCGCATTTTTTCGATTAATGCTTTCGGAGCTCTATCGGCATCGATACCAGACGCCGATATAAAGTCAATAATGTCATACAAGATAGGGCGACGATGGATCCCGACTCAGGAGTCAGGACCGCGATCCAAATGACGGGTCTTTTACGGACGCATTCGGAAATATTCCGCGGAACTTGCTCTTCTGACCGGATCGTTGGACTAGAGCATTTCTACCTACGATCCAACGGCGACCCAGGGTCGGTATGTGCTCTTTGCGACCATGTCCCGGCTCAAAATGAAAAGGCTCAAAAAAGTCGAAAGCCGTCAAGCAACCGTACCAAACCTTGAGATTCGAATTTTGGAGCAAATCTTGAGGAATGTGCGCTCATCTGTTGCGATCCAACTTGGGCATCGGGAAACGAATCTTATAGCTGGGGACAAGCTTTTCTCGATTGAACCCGCAGTCTTCGTATCAGAAATTTCCAATTATTTGTTCCGGAGGAAAGCCGTTCCCGCGCTTCTGCGCGTCCGGATGTGTGGTTCCGGCCGCTGGCGAACCCAACGGCGATACAGAATTCACGACCTTTACGGTCGCGGGTAAGATCTGGAACCATGGCTGAAATTTCGTCCACATGAAATTCTTAATTCATTCACGCCTCGATCAATTTTCGCATATCGATCTTGCTGGGTTCCGCTGAGGACTGTCAATCGAGCGCAGTGTCTCGATACGATACCAAGATCGATATTTCGACCCATTCTGCGTAGTGATTGGGTGATACATTCGTAAATGATTGGAGCTCGACATTTCATTTCCCGTTCGGCTCATTTGCGAGCTATAGTGCAGCACCCAGGGAAAATGCTGTTTTTAGAAGCGGTAGTCTTCATCATGAGTTTGAAGCCCGTGGGATTGGAAAGAATTAGCTGACAGAGTAACGCCGACGCTAGAGAGGAAAAGCAATCGTTCATAGAAATGTTCGGGAGCGGGACGGCTCCGACCGATCCCCACCGGGTCGCGATTTCAACGGATTGATTCAATGGAGTCGGCTCGGAAATCACGAGCTCTATCTGCGCGACGGAGAATAATCAGGATCGGAGGGGGGGGGGACATTTATTCAGCCACTTATGGTTTCTCATGATCCTAGTTCGACTAGCCCTTCGAAAGGAGGTTCCCCCAATATCGAGCTTTCGTCTCGTCTTGACGCTTCAAAGATGATTCACGATCCCCGAGAACAGCAGCACCTCGGTTTTGCTCCGTGGATCGGCGGCTAGGATAGAAAGCAGGAATGGACGATCTGCCGCAATTGTTACGTTTTTGGCGTCGAGACGTTTACTGGGGTTGGGGACGCCAGACGTCTCCCCCTTCGCGGGAGCATCTGTGTTCGTCCCGTGCTCATTGAAACTGAGTCGTGTCTTGTGAATTATTTTGTCTAATTTCATGCCTCGCGACGTCGTCATGATCGATGAATTCGCCGATGTGAAAATTTCGCCCTCTGCCATGCCCTCAACAACTTCTGTGAGTTCGATACTTTGGTCGAAATCGAACTTCGGCAGGATTAAATCGACGTTGGTGTCCTCCATTCGGGACAGGCTTTTCGCGATTCCCGCCCACTGGTTCACTCGGTTCAACCAAGAAACCAAATCGCAGGAGAATTTTCTGTGTGGAAGAACGAGCACCAGGCTGAAGATCACGTCGTCGGATTTGAGAGGGATGCGGAAGACGCGCGCACCGAAATCAGCCAAGTTCGTGTAAGGGTATACCCCGTTAATACGAATCCATCGCGAGTTCGTTCGTTTATCTGAGACGCAAAACGAATTGAAGGGTCGATCTTGATTGACTTCGCTCACTGGGTCCGACCAGATGCCTTTGAAATGGAGCGAATTGACCATCATCGAGACCACAGTGGTTGAGAGAGGTTTCTCGAGGAGTTCTGCGACCGAGCCTTCGGTTTCGAGAGACATGACCGAGTTGATCAGCTGTCGGGTCAGCTCGCTCTGCTGGAAGTTGCTCCTCAATACTGGGGTCCGGTACAATCTTCTCAACTCCTGGACGTAGGGAGTTCTCAGGGGAACCGACTCGTTGACATAGAACTGATTAATCAGCTTCGCCTTCGAAGCGATGAGCGGTTGACCTTGGGCGGGATCCATCCAATTCATACCTCTAGATGACGAGCGCCCATCCGAGCGGTAGTCTCTGGGCATCGCCACGCGGGAGAATGAAAGCTCGGAGGGCTCTGCATCGAGCTCCCGGTAGACAGCGTATTCTTCAGGGTACTCCATAGATTCTGAACTCGATGCTCTGGAGGGGGCAGATCGCGGGGCGTTCTTGAACGTCGCGGAGCTGTCTCGGGTGTTCATCCCGATATGTTGATGAAAAGTTCTCGACCTCGCCATCTCGGGCCGCGCAAAGGAAGCTCCTCGAGCTCCCGGAACATCTATGCGTTGCTCCTCGTAATCGTAGGCTTTCGGCAGCTCATAGAAACTGCCATCGGATCCGTAGAGGGCTTCGAATCCGATTCCGTGATTCGCCATATTATTCAACGAATTCATGCCTGGGGCTTCGTTCCGGGGAGCCGTGGGGTTGCGGTTAGTTCCCAGCGAGCTCATTCTGCCGTTTATTTCAGCATTGCGATGGTCACCCGGGAGTCTCTGGAAAGTGGATCCGAAGGACTTCTGTGGAGTTCCGAATACTCCATGGGGCGATTCGGAAGTTTTCTGCAGGGCTGCGGGAGCTCTTTGAGGATTCGGGACGGGTTCTGACCCGACATCAGACGGCTTCCCATCTGTGAAAGTCGAGAAGAGTCCCTCGATGTCGTTCCGCGAAATATCTTGCACTTGGAGAATTTTCAGAATGTTCGATCTCGTAGCTCCACTTGTTCCCGATGCTGCCACAATCAGCGCAGTGTACGCCGCGAGCGGTGAAACGAGGACATTTTCGTCCGATCCTGTCGACGCGTTCGTGAGGAGACGAAAACCGAACGTGTTCACCGAGTCCCACATCTTGGGCTCTATCGTTTGAGCTGCACCGGAGAAATTCACAATTGATACCAGGGTCAGAACCCTCACGAAAAGCGAGAGCTCCATGCTTCGTATTGGGTACCTGCCCAGAATGAACTCGACAAGATTTGCAGAATGCGGCCGACAGAGCAGGGGAGACATAAGGACGTTGCTCGGATGCCGATCTCATTAATCCGATATCGACGAATCGGACTTCTCGGTCGTATCGTCTTTCGGAATTCCCAAGGAGTGAATCGCTGCTCATCGGAGACTCAAGAACGAGACGGTGAGCTCGACACACTTGACATGAACACTTATGATGTCAAGAGAGAACAATGCGGAGTCTCTTTCACGAATTATGAAATTGACTTAATTTATTATTATGAGACGAAAGATGGAAATACCGAACGGCTATGAGATCAGTCACCTCCCGACTCGGGAGACTCAAGGTGTGGGCGATTTTGACTGCTTCCGACTGATGCCAAGCGTACCCACACAATTGGATGCGTTGCACAAACAAATATTCTCGTTGACGTCCCGGCATTGCATGTTGTAATTGAAAGTGAGCTCCTCACCGGCTGCAATGTTCCGCTTGGCGAACAAGCCAACGCACAACTTATCGTTGACTGTCCACTTTTCTGTACGGAGATTCGGGTTACACGAGTGGTTGATGAAGCGCGCTTCGTTGCCGGCTGGTCCAGCGTCGATGATATAGTTCGCGTCCGCTTCCAAAAAGTAGACGTTCGGGTCACCGATCGCATGGAGTTGACTGAGTCTACGGTCACACTCTTTCGAGTCTATAATCTCTCCGATGTACTCTATGACAAAGTCGTCTTTCTTCAAATCCTCCACCGCCTGGAGACCCCAGCCTCGACCGTCCGGGGTCAGGAAGACTTTCGTAGCTCTGTAAGCACGTTCTTGGAACCTGCGGTTCTTGCATTTCTCCCGCTGAGCACAGTCGTCCGAACATTCGACGTAGACCGCTCGGTTCGTGCAAGTGAAGTCTACGCAAGGCGACGATACCTTGCAAGAGCAGGGATCGACGTCATGCAGTCGTCTCTTGCGACAACTCGCGCTCACCATCTGGAAATAATTTAATTCATCGTATAATTCGAGCACCGTCATATCATCAGTCGAGAAAGCGTTATCGAGAACTGATCGCGCTCGGACCACGAGGTCCGGGACTCTTATCTACACATTTCGGGCGTCAAGGTACCTTATTGGAGGAGATTTTACGGAACTTCGGCGGCTTCTTCTTGGAGTGGACGGCCTGAAGATTCAACTGGAACTCTTTGTACGCCGCTTTGGCGTCGTCGAGAGCTTTTGCGAAATATTGTCGTTTCTGATTGGCTTTGATTGTCGTATGAGCTCCGTTGTCCTCGAGGGTGTATGGGAACACTTTGGAAGGTGCGAGCCATCCGTATGATTGCGAATCTGGACAGCCGAAGAAGTAAACGGCTAGATCTGCAGCTTTGTGGGGTGCGTTCAAGCAGTTCTCGGGCATCTGTAAGCAACGCAGTTTGTCGCACTCGACCCCATAATCCAACTTGGAACGAGCTACTCCGGAGTATCAGCTCTGGGTTGCTTTCAAGCTTCGGGGGGATTCTCACCTCGCTAGGATGGAGGATTTTCACGGGCCACCACGGATGTGTGCCGATCTTCCCCCAACAGACCTGTCCAAACACCGGAAAGCGCCCTTCGACGCAGTCTGGACAGAACCAGGTTTTGCGCCGCTCCAATTTCCCCACGTCTTCGCTGGCGCATGCCGCATGAACCACCGCGGGACAGATGTCGCAGCAGATGAGGGATCCCGACTCGCGGCACACAAAACAATAGTTCAGATTGTTCGTCTTCTTCTGGGGTGGCGGAGCGTGCCTCAGGCACAGGATTTGATTGGGCGTGAGGAATTGCGATGACGCCGCAACGCAGATCTTCTCTTTATGATAAGTGACGGGACATTTGACGCAGTGGATCAGGTTCCCTCGACCCTTGCAGTACAAGCATACGTGTCTCGGACACTCCTGGATTGACTGCAACAAAAATTCGAACCCTGAGGTCTTCCATATTGCGCCCGGGTCTCGCTGGTTATCATCGAAAGGAAAGGCGACAAAAAAAAACGTATATCGAGACAGCTATGTACCTGCCGGTCTGGAGAAAATTTGCAGCGCAAAGCCATGTCTCGTATGCAGGACATGTGATAACGCCTTCGACAACATGTCGCGGGTATCGCGACGCAGTCTTCGATTTCCCGTTCACAAATCGCACATAGAGTCGATCGGCACTGTTCACAAAACACCGCGTGACCGTCATCGCCCGGACCTGCAGGCTGATTGAGGCATTCGGCGTGGAACGAATTCCCGCATTTACATGATTTTAGAGTTTCGGACGTACCGCCGACCAAGCAAGTCGAGCAGACGGCTTCGGACAGCTGCGAATGGAAACGGAGTTAGACTCGCGAGTAATATTCTTTTCGCGTAGGATCACCGGCGACCTTGATCTGTTCGATTGCAGATCGAATATCCCGGATTTCCACTCCTCCTGCTCCCGGCGGAGTCCGGAGCAATCGCGACAAGTGAGCATGCGAGACCTCCTGAGCAAAGTGAGCCCAATCTTACCTTTCCGTGCTCCACTTTCCTCGATATCGGTCGTTTCTTCAGAGTTTTCGGGACTTTCTTCTTCTTCGACACCTGACTAGATGCTCGTCCGCTGTTCGACTCCGAAGCGGGAGAAACCTTGAAAGAGGATCAGCTGAGAGTTGTTCGACTCCGACCCGATGCTTCTATTTCTTACTGCCGATTCCGAGGCCCTCATTCGCTGATTTTTCGGCAGAGGCTTTGGTCCGTCTGTATTGAATGGGAGTTCACAAGCATAATAAAGACTCAACATGGTTCAATTCGAGCCTGGTCTTACCGATCTCTTGGTTGCTGAGGATGCATCTCGCGTGGGTTTTTCCCTGGTCTGCTTGGTAATAAATTTTCTCTCCTTCGAATCCTTGCCGACCGTGGTCTCAGTATTAAGCCCGCCACGTTGTCTGGTTATTCTCGTCGATTCCGCCTTAGACTGAGAAGCTGTAGCAGAGGGAAAGAATATTTCAGATCGATTCCCATTGGCTTCATCCTACGAGTTTATGCTATCGTTCCTAGGAGACGACTTCTTGATCGGGGCTTCTTGAAGCAACAACTTAGGCGGGACAATATCGAAACAGAGGAAACCTACGGTGAAAGCGCTGCAAACGCTGCGAGGGCGAGAAATGTAAAGCGTTGTCTGCCTTGGACAAAGCGGCAACCCAATTCTTCTCCAGGCTTTCTCTTCCAGCGAGATTTATGCTGTAGAATTTCGCCAGTTCTTTCCGGATCTGCACCAAGGAATATGAGATCAACGACTTTGACGTATCGAATTACATCACCAAGAGCCGAAGTCGCAAGATAGGAGAATGGAAGCATAGGATGCGTTGTAAGTAAAATGAATAGAGTGCTCAATCTCACCTTGCTGGTTTGAAGTCTCAAAGCGGCTTCCACCGTCTCGAGGTACTTGTCTCTACCGGCGAACTCCAAAACTCTCTTGGGTCCATCCGTCCAGCCGAAAGTATCGGTGTTTCCGAAGAAACGTACGTGGAAAACTATGTATTTCGATTTTTGGCGAAAATATTCTCCGTTCTCGTCGCTGCAACGAGAGACCGACAGCGAGGCATTTCAAACTTGTTCGGGTATCCGCATGGCACAACAGGATAATAGTCACGATATGTCTCGGATCGACGACCTACCTGACAATCATGCAAGGCCAGAAAGGATGTTTTCCCATCTTGACCCAGAGCAGATCCCCCGGTACGTACGGGAGCGTACAGTCCGGATGAGGACCCTCTAATTCGGCTACAAGTGACTCGGTCGACCCACGTCCCGAGTCTTCGGACGTGGTCGACGCCTCCTTCACTGGTTTGCTCTCAGGTCCTGGAAAGACGCCGCGGTGATTTCGAGGGAACAGGAAGAAGCTCGGCGAGGTGAAGAGAAGAATCGAGCGGAAACCCGCTTCTCGAATATCATGTGGAGCTGTCCATGTTTCCTCGAAGGAAGCACTCCCTATTTCCTCTTTACCTGTTGCGACTATAAGTTCGGATGAAGTTCTGGTGGCGAGAGCCACCATCCGTGGTAGATCCGCCGCGCGGATGGCGTTCAGGTCCGTGACAGAATTCTCTTGGTTTTCGCAGCGGGCACCTTCGAGAGACTCCCGACGTCGTTTAAGCGGGGGAGCTTCGATTGTACACTGGAATATGTCATGTCGTAGTCAGTGGATCAAGCATAGAGGATGGAATACTCCCGCGGCACTTGAATTCATTTCAAGAGACGGCGTTTGTTACAGAGGCGACTCACCTCTTCCTCGGGGAATACGAGACATGGTTCTTCATTATGTGTTTGCCTGAACTTGTCTAACATCTTCCGAAGTATTTTCCCGCTCTTATCCATCTCTCCGACCACCGGAAGCTGCCGGCTGAGAGTCGCGGACTGAGATCTTCGTTTCCAGAGTATGTAGGTTCGACCTGCCAACAAGCGAGAGCAATCCCTCAGAATCCCACCACATCGAGATATTCCACGATGCCTGCGACGACGGGCTCGACTGCAATCGTCAGTCGCGATCCTGCGGCACCACGAATTCAGACCTCTTCCAGGTTCCGACTTGCCAAAACATGCCGGCACAGAATTTATCTGGGACCCGAAAGTCAGAGAATGGGTTCGAGTTGGGGATGATGAGACGGAAGCACTGCCGGAGGTCGAACCGTCATCGATTGACAGGCCACATTCTCTGCCGAACTCACCTGGTACGGTTCCACGGACTTCCGAATGAGTCTCCTCCCGGCGTTTCGGTCCGATGGTAGTCGGAGTCTCCTGATTTCCCACGAAGCGCCGATGCCGCTCCGGAACTCATATGAGCACCAATACTCCGGAGTTCCTGGGATATCTATCCGATGACAAATTCGGATAGAATCCGCTGGGGGTTTCAGCAACTCAAAACACACTCTTCGGACCCTCACCGAACGGTGATAGAGAGAAGTCCGCCAGAATGTCCAAGGTGTCTAGCTTTCGCGCCAAAACGCAGGCAGCCGCTAGATGTCGCCCGCGGCTCCCCGAAGGAACGGCAGCCATGACTACCCCGCGCGATATGGCTTCAGATATTCAAGCGCGACCTATGGTGAATATACTCCCGGAGTACCCGAGGGACGCGGAGATTTCCCTACTCTGAAAGGAAGGAAAGTCGAGATCCAGCATACGGGACGCGGTGGAATGGGATTCCGTTCAGCTCTTGAATTCGGGTTCCTCCTTCGACGAATTCCGAGAGTAGGGGCGCAAGTTGCAAGTCTCTATCGAGCGCAGGACGGGGGTGAAAGAGATCAATGTTCCCATCGGCGACTCTTCAAGGTTCATGGCAGGCGCTCGTGATCGAGTGTCCCTTGAATCTGATCTCGGAATCGGTTCTCACCCGTACGACTAGGATTCGTTTTTCCGTGGGCCCCGATCCCCCACGGAATTCCGCTCATCGTACCCCCATCTCCGATATCAGTCTATGGAAAACTGGAGTGCCTATTGGACGATTCCCGATTAGGTACATCGATCGACAGTAGGTAGGCGGCGGATATCGGAGAGAATGAGAGCTCCGATCCGCGGAAGACTGATATCTCGTTTTAGGTAGAGTTGGAACCCTTCTTCGAATGCATACCTGGACGGAAGTCCCATCAGAATCCCTCCATTCGTCTAGACTTCATGGAAAAGCGCGGAGGAACTATCGCAATGGCCGCGAAAGTCCTTCCTCAGTTATCGACGTCGCTTATTCCGGGTCCCTACGCCATAAAATCGCCAGCTCTAAAGAGCTGTGAACGATCGATCTGCACAGACATGAATTAAGGCTGTGATGAAACTTCTGAGATCGAGCTCACGCGATTGAGATCAGTGATCCGTGATCCCTGCCTTGCCAGGGAGGGACGGTTCAAGCGTCAATGCTCCCACCATTCGCGGGAACTGCAGAAGTTCTCCCGCGCAGCCGCCCGCAAACGCCAACGGGTGACCCTGCGGTAAACTCCGCGCGAACGAAGATCGATAGAGTTCAATCTCTTCGCCTTACGCGTACAATCTCCAAAATCAGTAATCAGGAATGATTCGACAAGGCTGGGGTAGGCAGACGTCATATCGTCTCACGGAGGTCAGACTCCTACACTCCAGGTAGACACCTCGAGCAATCACGTCCAATTAGCTATTAGAGCTCCGCGGAGGGAAACTGCGGCGGCAAGTCAGATTCTGAGATCACTCCATCGTAGGATCGGTTCGGGAAAGAGTGTTCAGACTCTCTACGGTTTCGCTGGTTTCCACGAAGCCACAAGCAATCCACGAGGTCGCCTATATACGCAGGGGTACACATCTGATAGGTGCGCAGAGATTCGCCAATACGATGAGAGAGAATTTCTTCTTGGAGCTCCGAGGAGATGGGTTGAAACATTTCCATGCCTGAATCACCCGTCAGAATATGCTTCCATTCATGTGGGATATCGGATCTCATCCGCGAGCTCCCAAGTCTGTGGAAGTTCCTGGGGTCACTGTTCCCGGTTTAAAGGATTCGCTCCGATGGTTCTCATTCGAAAAACCCATGGATATGAGAATATCGATGCATATGAATGAGACCATGTACATGTCAATGTCAATGTTCACGCGTAGTTCATGGGAACGTATCTGTAGAAATTCTGGAGCGAAGATCATCATCATGGGCTTCCGGTGAAGGTTGCCCATGTTTATCATCATTGGGCATGGCTCTGCCATCGCTGGTAGACAATGTTGGTCAGAGGGAATCAGGAAATACTGATAACGCCGCTTATAGAGGAGGACAACGGCATGGGTCGATACTTCATGGAATTATGAGACCGCGCTCCGACTTATAGACCCCGGCAGCTGCGAGCTTGCTTGCGTTCCGGCGGCATCATCAAGGAGCAGCAAAGCTTCCGAATTTCTGGGGGCACCCGAGAGATGCGACGACGCTCCGAGAGAGGCCCACCAGAGCTGCAACATGAAGGCCCCCGTTAAAACTGAGGATGACTCTCTCAGCTTTCGCATTCACTCAGAGAAAGGGCGAAGAATGCCTGTCGCATAACGGGGCATCGTCTTTCAGCAAAAATCATCATCACCAAGGCCTGGCGAACATTCGTCTGCAAGCTCTCATGAACAAACTTCACTACTTGTTTCGGAATATTTTATTACATCCCAACAGTTCACGCTACTCGCTCTCCTAAAGGGTGTTTGCTCGAGTGTTCCGTCCCTCTGGTTTGAAGGAAGATTGTTCTCTCGCTGCCGCGGAGCCACAAGTTCCTCTTCTCATTTCACGGACAGACAGCAAGTTGATCAGGCCGTAGCAGCAGTAGTGGCAGGTATTTTCTCACATACAAACACACAGGGAGAAAGATCCCTAGGACTCGGTCTGTGTGATATACGTGCACCGATCGGCCAGAGAAACCCGTAGCCAAAGTGAGAAGATGGCTCGTGTCTCTCCCGTGAGCTGAAGCGGACGGAGTTTCTCGACGAGTCCGTGGTCGTGGAATCTACGGAGAACAGCAAAGCACCCAAAGGTAAGCTTTGTCATCTTTGGTCAACAGCTGATGGTAGCCTTGGCATGAACTCCTTCGAGATGCCAATATGAGCGGTGGAAGGAACCGGAGAGTCCGAGGCGAGATTGGTTCCACATGTCGTTCCCGATAGCTCGAAAACGGGATGCCAGGTTGGCGCCTCGATGAAAGTTCTGATAGACCTTCGCCCCGCCGAGCATACTCGAAGTGATAAGAGTCACGAATTGCTACCCGGTCGATTCGCGTCGTGTTCCCGGGTCGTTGGAGTCTCTCTGTGAGCACGGTCGATCCTGTCTGTTTTGGACAGGGATTTTTCGAACGAGAGCCGAATGGTCCGATTCGCGGTTGTACGCCAGCTGGTGTTGTTCGATCGTTGGGCATTATGCCGCCAGGAAAGGTATAATTGGCTCCATTACCAGACAGGGGCTCAACTTCTTCGGGCATGCAGTTCTCTTGAGAACTCAGGGCTCAGGTGATGGATATTGGGTCTCGGACTCGCGTCGGAGAGGCGTCACGCGGAGTCTCGACTCCAAGAACGCGGTGAAACTTTTCCTAGGGATCGCCTGGACTCCCTCCGCAGGGTTCGAATAACGGCCCGTTCTCTGCCCTTCCGTGACAGAGTCTCCTTCCGGTTCTCCCAGACTAAACGTACGTCAGCTCGTTTCGAGGAATAACATGCCCTCATCTTGGGAAGAGAGCTCCTCGCGATGAATCCAGCTATGAATTCGGTGGGATATGTCGAGGAATCGCCAGACATTATCCGGAGTCGTCCTTTTCTCGGGATCCAACGTCTGTCTTGCATTCTTGCTTCTATGACGAGCCTCTGCAGCGAACACACATGGGCTCTCGCACGGTGAGACGCTTGAGGAGACGCGTGTTTCTTTTCTCGATAAGATGCCTGAGCTCCGTGATCGGAGAAATCCATTCGGAGGCGAAACGATCGAACGAGTCTCCGAGCAGTTTTCTGATTATAAATCGGAGCCTGGGACCGGATGGTTCGATAAGGACGCCCATCGGTGTCCAAGCTTATCTGGTGGAACTAGTGGACAACCGCTCAGTTCAGGACCAGGATGAAGACTCGATTCAGATTAGGCTCAACGAATATTCGAAAAAGATCTCCGAAAAAGTGCGATCGTCCTCGGATGTCTTTCGTCAAGATGACCAGGAGAGAGGACGCCCCATAAGGGATTCGCCACGCCGTGAATGGCGGGCTGGACCCTCGCAATCGATAAGCTCCAGACTTGGCGGGAATTTCGCCTGGGGTAGAGCCAATGATGATCAAAATCATCAGAGTTGAGGATATCGAATTCATTCCTCTCGTAGATAAGGACAGCTTACCATTGCGCAATCGGCTGCAAACGTGACGTAGCATGATTTTCTCGAACTATGATGTATCATGGTGCGGAGACGAATCGAGAAATCGAGACAATTACCGTGAATATCCTTATCGAAGGACGTGCCCGTCTATCTGTCGACCATTCAAAACCTGCCTGTTTATTGGAGACTGCCCGTCTATTCTTCCGTCCATCGACAGAGGATCGAGTCCAGCCGCTCATACTGGCACGCTACATTTATCATTCAAGAAGTACTATGGAAATTGGAGTTACTCGCTCAGGAAACGCGAGACAAGTTCTGCAATTTTCCGCTACTCGAAGTCTTACCCCGAAGAGTTCCCATCTATTGGACACTGCCCCTCTATCAGAGACTGTCTATTTCATCTATACTCTGAAAGCTGCCCGACTACCGGAAACTGCCCTTCTATCGGAATATATACGGTGCTTCAGTTCAGCGCGTTGAGATTGTCCCAGACTCCTTCGTTCGCGTAGCGACGGTATTGGAAGACTCAGCTGCCTCTTTAACTTTTGGACGTACCTGTAGATATTTCAGACGGCTCCTCTTCCCCAGGGGTGAACTACCCGTTCACGTGTGAAAATCCACAGGTCCCGGGCGAGGAAAATCGAGCGATGTGGGAGACTTGGAGAGACAGTCTCATCCAATTCGAGCTCACGATAAGCAACTTGTCACATTCGCTCGCCGAGTTCCTGAACCAGTACGAAAATCGAAAGCGGATCCAATCAGCCCTCACAGAAACGTCTCATCGCTTTCTCATGAGCTATTGCGGCATTTTTAGGAGCGCGAGAGTCAATAGCGGCTTACTGGAAGGCGCTACCAATTATCCTTGGTTCTCGTTAGAATTACGCAAGAACTTCTGCCGGGGTTCTGGTTCTGCAAGAGAACGCATCCATCATTGGCCCACCGCCGTTGAACAGATGAACGGACCTCCCCGAAACAGCGGGGGAGGGGAGTAGAGCGGCAAACACAAGTTAAACATTCTTTCAGTGAGCGCAGTTATTTGTTCCAACTTGGGTAATATCTTACAAGCCAGTCGAGATTTGTTCATCTGGTGCGAGATTGTCCTCGGCCCGCGGTTCCTCTACTGCTACTGTGTCATTGGATGGAAGCAGACTAGAGCTGCTTAGAGGGGATATTCTTCGTCAATTCATCTCCGGATTCCCAGAGCGTGAGTTCGGCGTTGAACCCTAGAAACGGAACTCAGATCGAGCACATTGGGGAGCATTCCCCGATCTGGAATGGAGCTCGAGTTTTTTTCCCCCTTGATCCCTCTCAGTACCTACAGACTCAAATCTATCTACACGCTTACCGGGCACAAGAGGCTGATTCATCGGAACTTGAGCTCACCGGGGCGCCGCGTTCCGTTTTCCAGCTTCTCATGCACGGAATCGGATTCCACTCAGTCATTCATGAATGCTTTTGTGATTCCCATACTTTTCCGACAAGGAAACGGAAGGACGTACGACCATACGAGAGACACCTTCGATGCGTTCGAAGGTGGCGGTAGCGCAGTGATTGCGTTGAACAACAGTGTTGCCGCGGTTCCGGATGAATCGAGTGGGTGATGGCGAAAGGCGATATCCACTGAAGTTTAATTAAAACATTTCTCTCTGCAGGGCGCGATGGCTGGCTGGCTACAGCAGCCGGCTAACGGCTTCTGCCAATGGAAGCCGCGAATTTGGAGTTTCGTAGGCGTGGCGATTCGGGTCCCTCCGCTCATTGTTATGGATCATCTTCTGGCGAAAGAATCTTCGGCCATTCCAGAAAATCAAGACATGTTCGAATCGTTGCGCGACAGTCTCATTGTGCTCGTGTTGCGCTCCCCATGTGAGTTTCCGATGCCGCCGACACTATGAACCTTCTTTTCCATGGACTTCAGCCCCTCCGACCCGCCATCGGGGAGGGGGGGCTTAAGCAGGCGGAAGTCGAGCTGGGGCGGTTGGAGCTCTCGCGGGGAAATCGAATCGCCCGAGGGGGCATTCCCGTACAGAAACTTATCTCGTATACTGAGCAGTGGATGGAGAGAAATTTCGTGTCTCGATGTTCGCCTGAAAATTCACATGAGTCCCCTCTTAATTCGCGGCTTCCGAATCCCCAGATCCAATAATGACGTTTCTCTCGATTTCAGTATTCCTCTCCGCATTCGTGGCGTTCATGTTAGGAACTCGTCAGTTACTAGAATTCTACTTATTTTTGTCATCGTTTGGAGTTCTCTTCTGGTCATACATTTCGAATAGAGAACTCGTCGAAACCGCGACAGCTCTCGCCGACCAGAACACTAGTGTACTATACGAGTGCTCGACCTTGAACACCGACATCCTAATCAAGGTAAGCCGAGGTTCCGATACTTGAAAATGAGAACAGATTATCCATATCGATTGTGCTTATGATACCCGTAATGAGAATGGGGCGAAATATATTGATCAGGAATAATCGTGAATACTCTTCCAGGTTCTAGGAAATTATGCGCTGCAGTGGGTCTGCGGGATCATGTTCCGTTTCTCCGCCCACCTCACTTCGTTGACCTGGCTGTTCTACCTGTGGCTGATTTTCATAGGACCCACAATTTTCACGATGTTCTCACCGATAGTCTCAAACAATGTGCTGATGTGGACGCCTCTCCTATCGGTCGTCGCAGCTCATTTAGTCTTGATCTACGGCGCCCTCTCCAATCTGAAATCTCTGACCGCGTACGCGGTGGATACTTTGAATTGGGTGAAAGCCGTCTACGGGAACGACGGTTTCGTTGTTCTTCTCAAGTCCCAGTGGACGAGGCTCAACGTCCCATCGGTCCTGAGGTTGTTCTGCGTTTGTCGAATGATTGGACACGCTTCTGTTATGATTGCGGACGCGCACGCTGCCGACACGCCGGTTTCGTGGGTCGCCCTGGCCGAGGACCTCTTAGTACGCGGCTGCAACACAACCTTGTCAGTAATGGGGGTAACGAGTTTGTTTGGAATGGTAGTCCACTACATCACGATGGCTGTGCAAGCTTTCCTGCAGAAAGACGACGTGGAAGAACAGATGGGCACCGTATCGTCAATGTTGTTCTTCATCCTAGCAATGCAGTCCGGCCTGCCGGGCATGAACCCTGAGAGCAGAATCTTCCGTCTCTACCAGAACGTCTGCCTTATCCTGACAGCCATGCTTCACTACACTCATTCGATGATTAACTCGCTTCTCCAATTACTGGGAGCTTCCCTTAATTCACCTCTGGAAAAACACGTGCGCGCCCTTCTGGGCTGTGTTTTCATCGTTATGTCGTCCGTGGGTCTGATGTATTTCACGTGGTCTCGACACGACATGAGCTCTTGGCTCGTTGCCCTGAGCTGTTTCAGCGCGGAGCTCATAACGAAAGTGGCCGTGTCCCTCGTCATTTACGTCCTGTTCATGATCGACGCGCGACGAGACGGCTCGTGGGAACCGTTCGACGACTATTTGTACACAGCGCGCGCTGTCAACTCGTGCCTTGAATTATTTTTCGCCACACTGTTAGTTCTAAACGGTGTGTGGATTTTCTTCTTCGAGGAAAGTGGAACGATCCGCGCTTTCATGATTGTTTTCCATGGCTACTTCAACGTCTGGTCGCAGGCCAAGCAGAGCTGGACGAACAGCGTACGACGCCAAGAAGCCAGTCGACGTCTCGCCGAGTTCCGAAGGGCGACCCCAGAGGAACTGAATCGTTTGAATGACGTTTGCGCCATCTGCCACCATGAAATGGAAATCGCTATCGTGACCGATTGCGAGCATTTCTATCACGTAACCTGTTTGCGCAGATGGCTCTTCATGCAGAACCATTGTCCCATCTGCCACAGCGAGTTCGATTGTCGGAAAAAACGTGAGCAGACATACGAGCAGGATTTCGCTCAAGAAGACGAGGGAGGTTTGTTCACACCTCCTCAGCCCGAAAACGTGCGGCGACGCTACTGAGACACGCTGAGCTCACTCAGAACTCAGGAGCGGGGAACTCTGCCCCAGGCGCGATCGGAGACGACGCAAGGCTAGCGAGGTCTGAGCTGGAACTCTTCCATTTGAAATGCTCAGCGCTCGAGCTGAATAATTGTTTATTGCCGAGATCGAGTCTGAACCCATCTAGATGCGATCTGAACCTCCCAAATTCAAAAAATTCAGAAATGGAACCACAGATGTACGAAGCACACAGTGCCGTCACAGGCTCGCGGTAATTTTCCACAGAAAGTAGTAGACACCGATTCGATTGAGGGGTTGGTGACGGTGTCTCCGAGTGGTAATTTTGCTTGAACAAAAACTTAGGAGAGGCTAGTCCGATTCCCAGATGTTCTCCAGTCGGATTCCAAGGTAGAACGGGGAACGCGAAAAATCAGGTCGAGGCAGCGGACAGAACGGAAAAAACTGGAAGATTCGGCTTTGCAGCTTCAGTCGATCTACTGACTATGATAAGCAGCCAGGAGGATTGTGCAGGGGGAAATTGTGCGCTCTATTGGAAGAGTTACAGATCTGCTGCGGCCCGATCGAGGCACATGCATTGTCACGGATAGTATATTTTGCTACGATGGAAAATCTCTGCGGGGACTCGACGATTATCTGAGAGGCGATCGTGCGGAGGAAGTGGTCCCGTGCGTCGTCGAATCAGCTACAGAAATGCTGTTCCGGATGTAACTCTGTACAATAAGGAAACTGTATATACCCGCATCCAAGAACACACTAGACGTCGTCTCCCCGAGTTTGGAGCTGCTTTCGTGAAATCAAGCAATTTTAGAAACCTAGGCTCCACCTTGTGTATTTTTATAAGCAGCGATGCCTGTGAATGCAGTGAGATTATCATTCCGGAGGGCCCAAGTGAATAAAACGTTGGAAATGATGCATGAATCCGAAAAGACTGCATTCCCTTCTTCTTTGGTAGTATGGGTTGAAGTGGGTCGAGATTTTGATCCTGAAACTAATGTGGTTCACTGCACATGATGGATATAGTTTCGCGTCTTGCTCTCACATGCTTCGTGATCTTTAGGTGTGCTTTTTTACCGTATGGTCCGCCAGTCGCTATAACTGAGTCCGGATTCACGACTCCGCTCGCATTTCGCTCCAGCCGTCTCGTGGAGTCGGGGAGACATCTTCTCTGATCGGACAAAACCGTTCGAAGCCCTGATGCAACGAGATCAGCGTTGATCAGAAGCACCGGGGTGTCTTCGGGGAGGTCCACCGACTCTCTCCCGCAGCGTCGGCAGGTGACCGCGAGATCTGCGGACCGCGCTATTTCGTCCGAGATATTGGAAGCTCATTGATGAAGCGCATTTATCAGCATTCAATCAGACACTGAGGGCCCGGGGTCGCGACCGGGGCCGCTTCTCGCAGTCGGGCTCACCATTCCGGAAGCCTGAACCTATTTGCTCTCATTGATGATCGCTGTTCTCGCACTCCAATTTGGCTAGGACGTCTCAGTTCCCCGTGAAAATCATTGGGACCATCAATCATCGGAGCATCACTGGCGGCTGGCGGGGCCCGGATTTTCTACTGAGGCGCAGTGGAATATTCTTCGAGCGGGAGGAAGAGAGACGCTCTGAACTCCAATTCGTTAAGTAGAAGGCCCCCCGCGGCTAAGCCGCCGCGAGACCTGCCCGAATCGGCTCGGCCTCACGAAATATACAGAAAATAATTTCCGCGACGAAGTTCGCCCGCTGACTACTGATCCGACACTCCTCAACCTGAGACCACTAGCCCGAATACCGATGTACGGGACGATCGAGACGCTCTGGAAATACCCCCACAGTACGGCTCAAATATGTAATGCCCCAGGTCACTCGACGAGCATCTCCCGGGAAACGAAGGTTGAATGAGAGAATGAATTGAAACTCGGAACCCTTCGTGGCGACATCGCAACACTGCGAGTAGACGCACGGTGTGTCTCGAGTGGTGCAACCTCAACTGCTCTCCATGAAATCAATGCTCATACGAGATTGTACGATTAGTGCTTGTGGGAACTTGAGGTTTCGGTGATCCTTCCCGAGTTTGGCCACCGCACGCCCTCGAACAAGAGGTCCCCATCCCTCTCAATGAGTCACTTGATTTATCCTGGGGTCACGGCGATCCGCAAGACGTTGAGAGCCTGATTCGGGGTCTGAGTGAGGCTCTGGAGCTCCACAAGTGCCCATCAAAGTTTCTGGGTACGTTCCCGTCATCCTCCAGCACCGAGTCTTATGTATGGAGTACAGCGAATTTCGTCGGTAAACTTACGCGTCGGTAAAATACGCGGAGCGCCGTCCTCCGTTGTGAGCAGGCTCGCCTCGTAATCTCCGACTGCTCCTCTCATTCTGCGGAAGCCCCACGACGTCTAGGATGAGCGACCGTTCCCCTCGCTTGTAGCCGTTAAGAAAAAAGGCCATTAGTTATCGCTGAAGATGGTTTATTTGCAATTTTCGTGGCCGAGCATAGACTCGATTACGACGACATATGTATGTATATTTATTCCCCTCGATGAACCCGCTAACAATCCCTCACAGTGTAAGCGCTCCGATTGGAAACCTAAGTTGAGTACATGCGGCACACATTTACATCACGAAAACTTTTTCGCATTCCTTAATGTCGTAAATTTCTCCAGTTCGAGGACAGCTAACTTTGCCGCGATTCGCATTAGCCATCTGCTTGAGAGCGATTTCGCCGTAGACGAAGCCATTCGGCAACATCATTGGCACGTTATTCTCGTTCAGCGGATCACCGGACAAGAAACAGATCAGTCGAGACTGTGCGCAGTGTGCGAAAGGTAACGGTTGCGCTAAAATGTTGAGGTGCTTGTAGCACACGGGACAGTCTGGATTCGCGGAGTCTTGCCTGAAGAAAGACGACCTTACGTTACTGGGAGGGTGAGCGGCTCCGGATGTCGAGACGTGAAAACCATCCGAACAGAATTAACGTATTCCGACTTACCGGTAACACTGCGGGGTTTTGAGTGCTGACAGCCCTGCTTGGAGGGTGACACTGAACACGCTCATGCTGCTCAGCTGGTACAGGCGGTAGTTTTCGAAACGGAACTGCTCTACCAATTTCTTCCAGCGGTTCGGATCCAGGAGCTCCTTGTAAGGGGACAGCATAGTATTGGGTGAAAGGGCAAGAAGCATCATTACCTGCTGAACCTCACGGACTTGATCCTCATCGATCGCAGAAAAGTGCTTCCGCGCATGCCTGGAATGGAACACGTTTCCCTCATTACTCCGACGCAAGATCCACTATGTCTGTCCGAACAATCAATCATAGATCGATTCGCTTTGAGAGGGGGATTGAGAGAATCTGACCAATTTCTCAATTCCGGAAGTGGGATTGAAGATCTCGTGATCCGCGAGTACTCACTTTACAGCTTCGAAATTCTTTCCCTTCCGAACCAACTCGATAAACTCCTGTTGGCGCAGATTGAACTCCAAACTGCTTTTGAGTTTACGAAGTTTCGATTTGTTATCGTAACACCATGCCAGGCAACTTGCGGTATCTTTCCGCTTTAGTGATTCCTCGACCTCACGGGAGACCAGGAATACTTCAATATTTGTCAACGAGCGGATATCGCATCGGTCTGCTAGCTTCAATGCGGTTCTGTGGGAGAATTCGATAAAATATGGAAGTCAGAATCCTCTCGAATTGATTGTGCATAAGAGGGAATGAAATTCCTTGGCATCAACTCACTCGTAATATCCCGCTCGGAGGAAATGTTCGACAAGCATTCGGTCGACACGTTTTCTGGCCCATTCTTCATTCTCTCTTCTGTCGTGGTTGGCACCCTCTTTCAGGTGTTCGAGCCTTCGTTTGCAGAGTAGCGCTATATCTACTTCTTCGGAGAGACTCTCGTCGGCCTGGAGGAAACATATACGAGTCAACAAATCGGCTTATGAACGAGAGATATATTCACGCATTTGAATTCTCCAAATTTTTGATTTCTCCAAAGCGAAGTAGACATGAGGAAACCGCCCGGATCCCTGGATAAAGGACGCGGAAAAACATCGGAAGAAATTGTTCTTACTTTTCTTTTTAGGATGTTGAGCTTCTCAACGACCGAGCCGAGCAGCAGTTTGATTTCACCTGCTTTCGCCGCACCGGAGCTGATGCCTTTCTCGAGATCCGCGGTCGCATTTGTGACATGACTGACTTCTCGGTCTATATTCTTCTGGGCTGCACGGAATTGTTTGTTCAGTATCTCGTAGGGCACTTTCAATGTCGGGTACTCCAACGCCTTGATGTCCGACATGATGCGGCCGCAGCGCGACCCCCGACTCTGCGTCACGAAGCCGTGAGGGGGAACCTGCTGAACCTAGTGCTCTTCCGACGCCGAGGACAAGCACTCACAGTCTCATGGGATCACTTCCCCCTTTTCTCGTCCTTTCTCGCCTAGGTTTCGATCTTCCCACCAGCGAATCACAGAAACCAACTCTCAGCAGAGCAGGCCTACGACGCGACGACTCCTCGGAGGGAACTGCGTCGACTCCACAGACAACAACTTAATGTTTCGTTTCGTTGGTCCAGACGATCAGCTGTTGCTGATGATGATTTAGACACTGTTGTTAACAGTAACGGGAATGTCTGGGATCGGGAGTATTCGATCTCGATCGCTGCTCCAGACGGTGCTCAGACGGGATCTGCAGTAGGCTTCGAGAGCCCTTCACACATTTTCGACGGCTCCAGGAAAGGGACGCAGCTTCATCGACTGACCCTGGGATGTAGCGATGGATGTAGCATCTGTTTCACACAGACCTCCGTATCAGCGGGTGCTGTATCCACGGTCAGGAGGGACTGATAGAAGAACTTTCCCCAAAATTCTGAGACATTTCATGAAGGATGGCGTTCCGTGAGCCAGGGGCTCTGCGACGTCCTTCGCTATTGGAAACCGAGTCCGAAACTACGTTCTGGGAACGACAATATATATCTGAACGACGAACTTAGGGTGATGATTATGATGATCTCTGCTGATCACAAAACCGTAGATGAACATCTGTTCGAAGGAGATGTTTCGCGCTTCGCGCCGCGCTGCATTGAATCTCCAAGATGAACATTAGTGCACAATGAGAGAGACGTGTCAGGATAACCTCCTACCTATGAGGCGCGACTGTCTGTGACCGGAAAAGTCACTTCTCTTGGAAATCTGCTCAGAGCTTCAGAACGCCGACGCAGAGTCCTGGGAGAATGCTCAACCCAGAGTGCCGCATCTCTTTCTCGCTAATATCCTCCACAGCAGGGATATCTGTTGCCTCTCGCGAAGCCCTCCAATGCGTGCGAGTAGCCAGCAGGTAGAAGTATCGCTTTGCCGGTCGCGGCGGCCCGCCCAGGATTCCCCTCAGGCCGAGTGGCTAATAGATTAGATCGGAATCCAGCTCCGTGATTCTCATCTGAAGATAAATGTTCAGATGTCCGTCGACAAGCTCGGAATCCTTCTCGATTGACAAGGCAGGCCAGAGCATCGGCTCCCGCACGGAACTTCGAAAACCCAGGGAGTTCTGACGAGGTTGCGAAACAGTTAGGGATCCTGGGTACGCGGGATACATGTCTCCGATAGAGCATTGCTGTCGGATCACGGAGACTGAAGCGTATTTACTCATCCTTTCTGCGATTCCGACAAGCTTCCATAACTCGCTTGTCCTCACACCCTGTACATATTAATATGAAACATCTGTGGACGGGGAAAAATTCCGTGGTGATTTCGATGATCCAAGCTGGAGGTTCTGGAATCGTATCGTATTACATATGACAGTCATTCACGGAGGTAGAGATGCGCCTCCTCCTATCATATACTGATTAGAGCGATATTCCATTTCCGTCGGATTCCTGGAGAAACCGTCGGATATTGAGGTAATCAGATTCCCCAATGGACCCCCATGCGACATGGGAGAGACTTCCAGATCAAAGGAGATCGGCTCCGAGACGAGACTGCCTGTTTACCCCGTTCCCATCCAGGGTCTTTCGGAGGATCAAAATTTCGTGAAGCAGGAGACCAAGATGGAGACCTATTAGAGAGATTAAACCTCTGACTGAGCACGATCTTGGCGCCTTCCGTCCGGGTGGTCAAGGTCTCATGGAGGCTCCGTGATACATACTCTGACTTCCTGGGTATGATTCCGCCAATTCGATGCGCACTCCAATGGATTCATTATCAGTCCGACCGGTGGATCCGCTTCGGATTCGAGGAGAAAGAACGAATGGAGAGAACCCAAGGAGTTCAATTCTACGTTCACGCTGGAAAACGAATTTAGAACCGGAGTCTCGACGTCGTCTGGAGCGATCTCTCGACAACAGTCATTCGACGGAATCGTCTAGTTATCCTTTTCGGAGGAATATGGATGGAGTTGAAATGGATTCTAGCCCCTGACATCCGGGTTCCCTCTCGACACTCCGCGTCAGCCTGTCTGATGAGCCTGGATTGAAAGGACGGCTCCCTTCGGGCTGTTTCGGAAATTCTCGGGTATAGTCTCGCAACGCATAGAGGCCGACCTGTGAGTCCTCAAGACTTGGGCCATGAGCTTTCACGAGACGATCATGGTCCCGCGAGACTCATATGATGTCTCAAACATGGTGAGAGCAGTAATACGGTCCTGATCGGGGAACGAGATCTAATGATTCTTTGAGGCGCAAGGGATTTCCGCAAAGCCGAGGAGTCGAATGACCAGTCGGTACGTCTTATGTTGGAGCTGGCTCCGCATTTGTTCCCGACGACTTTTCACATCATGACTTCAGCTCATGGAAGCTAATGCTTGATTTGGCGACGGAAGGTGGATAACTATTTCAAGATGTCGTTATCAGCATATTTCCGGAGGTTCCTTTCTTGCAGTCTGGCAACAGGTTGCTGAATCGCCAGAGTTCCAGTCTGAGACTGACAATGACATCTGCCCGAACTCGGGTCGGAGACCTGAGTCTCCGATGTCTTTTTCTTACATCTAGAGAAGCACGTGTTGTTGTTGTTGTACCGATTCGGGTTCGAAGTTCGAAGAGGGCTGCGCTCCTTCCTCCTCCCACGCGATGCCCCTCTACATATATCCTGGCATAGCAGACGAATTGTCATTACTGAGTACTACCACATTTTTGTGGATGCCCTGCGTGTAGTTCCCACGCTAGCAGGCAATCGGGTAGGTACCGGCGGCCAGCGACAGGTGACTTTCAGGGGGCTCCTCACTCAGCATGGGTCAGAAAGTCGGTGTTGAAAAGTTAAAATATAGAAGGGATGGAGCGCCCGATATGGCTGAAACTTCCAGCAATGACCATCAGCATCATTGTATTCAGTTTACCCCCCGTCAACAGATTCAATTTTTGCACCATCTTCGTTATCTGCTCATCAGCCTTGGACAGGGGATGCGGGGATTCCACGCTCCGCGAAGCATCTCCACATGGAGTTCGACTTCGAGTCGCTAGCGTGAACTACTAATCCCGAATCTGATTCAATTAGACGGGAAAGCCCTTCGAAGTCTGAGACGATGTCCCTAGCCTGTATCTCGCTTGCTGGACTCCGACACTCTGCGACACCACATAAGCATGATTCAAGATAAGATTGAGCACCGCTATCCGCTGAGTTCACTCGTCACAATAAATGGAGACTTCGGCTTCCTGCTGGATTTCTGCAAAGCGAGGCCGGAATACGCCACCGTACCCGCCGGATTCCCGGTCCCGCAGAGCCCGTGTTCGAATTTTCGCGCCACGGAAAGTTGGCTTGGCTGGGGACAAAGCACTATCCCCAAATCCCTAAAGGGTACCTAGACGAGATTCTGCGAGACGCGGCTGCGACGCCGCGAGTCGATTCAGCGTTTGTTGTGAGCTGTTTTGTGTCGAGCGGCACTCAGTGTCGGAAGCAGAGTTGAAAGCGGCCGAAGCCATTGTTCGTGGAGTGGTTGTCCTCTGAAAACGTGTCGTGAAGACCTTGTGACTTTGCCGTCTTAGACGTTGCGCCCGCGGACCTCTAGGCCTAGAGCGGACTAGCGTGTGCTCCGTGTGTCCCGGTACCGGCATCTTCTTTTGTGGTTCGTTTGGTAAGTGTTCAGGAATTCGTTATTTTCGTGCGGTTACGACCACGTCCGGTGTCCACTGCCGGGCCTGGAGCCTGCGGGGCGTCTAAGCCGGAGATCTGCGGCATGTCAGGCGCACGCAAGGGCTTTGGGCATATTTGGCGGCAACCGGTGCCGCTTCGGCTGCTACGGCTGTGAGCATTCATTGAGGAAGGCATCGAATTTCGTTGCCTGCGTCTAGGCTGGCAACCGACGTCTTCGACTACTCAATAGAAACCGACTATGCGCATTGTGATAAGGAAGCGTCGAGCGCGTATCGTGTCACGCTCAATATCCCTTTGCCGCCAAAACACAGCGACACTTCGGGCGAAATAAAGGACGCACTCTAGGTAACTGGCTCGTAGAGCAGGCGTTCCGAGCAAGACGAGTTCCGAACCGATTCGGAGGGCGCCTGGTTAAGAGACGAGCGCTTTAAGTGGGCTCACCACGCATCGCGACTGTTGACGTGCCTTATTGTATCGTCCCTGAATCGTTCACTGTCGGAGCGCTCATTAGCAGCTCGGCGGTTTTGGGTGCTCGAACGATCGCTGGATTGAATTTGTTCGAATGGCTCCTCCGAAGCGAAAGCTCCAATGATCGAAAGCACATGAACAGAGAGGCACGAGTGCATTGCGGTGTCACTCTCGTTAACCTAAGCTCCGGTGTTGCTGTTCAACTCGAACAGGACGATGCTTCTCTGGCTGCTGCTGCTGCTGGTAGTAGATGATGGCTCTTTCGTTTTTCTGAATTGCCAGGCCGACGATCATGCTCTCGAATTACCGCGAAGGCGATAGGAAGCAGTTGGACATCCACTCAACAATCCGGATTAGACCTGCCTTGTGGGTGCACCCCCGTGAAGGAATAAACGTTCATGGAATTTGTGCTGAGGTACCTGAGCATGAAGTCACTGTCTCATTACCTAAGAAGATTCACTTGCAAGTGTTCAAATCTCCGACCCTCTGACATGGTTTTGAGCATGGGACTACGCTAATACTTCCCTCAATTTTCGAGCTTGTCATATCTGCCTCGCTCAGCTCCATGAGTTTGTTGGATTCCGTGGAGTGCACTGCCATTGATACGCTCAGGACATCGTGAGAGTGATATCGTTGAACTCGTAGAGATAAAAGTGGAACTTCTTAATTCAGAAACGGGCGAGAGACGGAACCAAAGCGATAAAACTCGGAGCGCAAGTTTGAGTGCTTTTTTGTCCTCTCGTCTTAAGACTCAGCCAGAATTACTCTGATCCGAGACGGCTCCTCGTGGTCCTCGTCTCCTTATGGAAGGAAAGTCTCGGGGCTATGGACGATCCGACGGATGCTGCGCCTGCTTTCAAATGGCGGAATTTCTCCCGATATGATTTTGACATGTCGAAAAGAGTTCAACAACCCCATAATCGATTCTCGGTCCACGTTCATCTCAGTCGAATTTTTCACCGAGTACCATCTCATTGCTCTCCCCATGAGTTACACCGTGATACTTGCTGCGGG